CACCGCCCGGCTCACACCTATTCTCGTCTGGGTGCTCATCTTCGGCCTCAAGTTTGCGGTGTCCTATTCCTTCCTGGCGCTCTCGTCCAAAACCCTGGTCCAGGTCATCGCTGGGATGAAGATCCAGAACTGCAATGGCAAGTACTTCGGAAATGCGCTCTGCAGGATCCATGTGGCGTTCGCGCTGACGATCATGGACCTGATAGATCTTGTTCTCTTCTTCTCGGATACCTTCTTGTGGTGGATCATCCGGAACACAATCCTCAGTATCGTGCGGCTGCTCGCGCTCGGGCTGTCGATTTGGACGCCCTTGGAAGGGCATCTTCACGCGGCTGCCCAAGCGAATTTACGCCAAGCTGCTTGCTGCGGCGGACTTGGACACGAAGTACAAGCCCAAGGTTTGCGAAATCTGCTTGATTACAGAGCGAGGTTGGCTGACGCACTCCGGTCTGCAGGTGCTAGTCTCGCAGAGCGACAAGGGCCTGAAGGGCGAGTTCTTCACTCCCAGCAGCGAGGCAGAGCGTCGCTTCGTTCTTCGCGCACTCGCTGGCGACCACGTCCCGGAGCCTATCCTGTTGATGCAATGCGGGCGTTCACAGTCTTGGCGCTGTGGAAGGGAAATTCGTCCCACGCATCCTTCCCTCTTATGTTACAACTTCCTACGGTATGCTCGACTATACCGGCGCGCCTGCGACGAACCGGAAGGCCGCGACGCGGACCCGCTAGTAGGACGAGACGAGCGCCGTGACGCCGAGTGCCGCACCTGCTGGGGGACCAGGTCGCGATTAGTAAATAGCACCGCGTGCGAGCTGCCAATCACGTACCGAGACAAGGGTTCGTTGGTCAACGCTGGAAGGGGACTCAAGGGACGTCCGTCGCCAGGAGGGTCCCATATGCCTGCTGTACAATACTTTCCTTATTAGGTATCATTCCTTCCCGATACGTCAAACACTCACGCTTCGCGCTTCTTTCGAACCATCTCTCGCTCGCCGACGTCTCTCCCCTCAGCTTCTACTACCTTTTTATCCCTCTCGCGCTTCCATTCTTCTAGAACGTCTCGTGTGTATTAGTACTGGGCCGCGTCGCCTGCTCTCTATCGAATCAAATCCCACCTCTCTCGCTCTCTCTCGCCTCGCTATCCCGACCTCGGCACTTAGACGCGACACTGCGGTCGCGGGTGCAAAGCAAGTCGAGTCGCGTTCCGATACCAAGTAAGTGTTCCGTTAGATTCGGCGGCCTAACTACTTTCTACAGACCACCATCCGTCGTCCTTCACCGAGCCCCGTCCACCCTCGACCTCTCGACCTCCCTGCATCAGGACGAGCGCGCGTTGTGTGTGGTTTGTCGTCGCACGCACGCCTTCTCTCGACAGCGCCTCACTGCAGCGAGAAGGTCAGTGTGCCTTTTCTGGCGTCATGAACCGAGCGAATTGGTTCTCTAGACCTTCTCTCGTTGCGCGAGATCATCAGGGACTTCTTGGTATTCCTGATTGCGTACTTGCGTCTGTTTTTCCGGAGTATGATTATCATCTCAACGCATATTCATGTTTTTGTCGATGCTGAATGCTGCTGGCAGAACTCGTTGAACGCGGTACCTGGTAGGCCGTTATCCGCGAGCACTTCACATCCTTGGCACCCGCCTTCGAAGTCTTCTCGAGCAGTAGCTACTTGCCTGCGATTGCGAGCAACTTGGCATTCGGCGGCGCTTGCTATATCACGACTGGACGAGGTTTCGCGGCAACCCGGATCTCATTCACCATTCTATACTCCCGCTTCGCCGACCCGAGCGTTTACATGGATAGGCAACGACCTCTTGCTCATGCATGCGACCATGGCCCTTTGGACTCCATATCTCATCTACTTCTGGTTCTCGGTCGGGCCTCTCTGCATTGCGCCCTTCGCCTTCAATCCTCATCAGTTCAACTTCAAGTTCCCGGACTTCATCATTCACTATCGCAAACTCCTTCGTTGGATGTCTCGCGAGTTACATGATCACTGGCTACAAGAAACTCGGCCACCCCCCGAAGAAGCAGCCTGGCGATGTTCCCGGCGCGGCGGCGAGATGGCGGGCTGCCATATGTCCCCGCCGCAGCTACATTGATGCTCTCTGCGCGCGTATATACGCGCTCGGTGGGGGATGCACGGGGGCGGCTGCCGCCTTGTGCCGCGGTGCGTCCAGCGGAGAGATGACGGATCGCCGCCCAACGAGGAGGCGGGCTTGAGGGGCGGGTTCGGACGCGCTGCGGCGAAGAGAGGAGTGCCCACTGTCCCGCTCGTCTGCCGTCCTGTTTGCTCCTGGTTGCCTGCTGCCTCGCTCGCCCGCTCGACCACCCGCCTGTTCCGCTTGCACTCGCCTTCTTGGCCGCCCACACGCAGCTTCTCGCCTGCCTGTCCGCTCTCGCCGCTTGCCCACTCACACCTGCCCGCCTGCTCTCACCGCCTGTCCGATCTCGCCGCCCACTCGCCCACCCTGTGCGTGACAGGCCATGATCCGTACAACCCGTGCGGACCCACGCAGAACCCGTACCCGCTGTCACGGGTCTGTGCCTAGGGCGGGTACCCTCCGGGTAGACCCCTACTCTGCCATAGAACTTGCAGAAGTGAGGATTAATTGTCAACTGAACGAGCTTAGCGCATACATCATAACATGACCAGTTTTTTCCGGAGCCTGTTGCTAGCATAGCAAGCAAGTCGCGTCCATCGAGACCCCTTCGAGTTGGTAGTCATAGGGATCGCGGGGAATGTGTTGCCGAAGCGCCAACGCATGTCCCGCCGCGGCACTGAAGCTATACCTGGAGGGTACGTTGACAATGAGTCCCAGTGAAAACGTGCAATATTACCTACGATTGCCACTGATTACCAGCGTGAGCTGTCAAGGAACTGTCAGACAATCTATTACCGTAGAATTCTGTATGTTCAGTGTTGTCTGCTAACATTCAAAGCCTCGGTTTCGCGCTCATCAATTGCCTTTACGATTTGGCATGTACCCAAATGGCGAGGTTCTCGCCCAAGTCCCGCCGCCCAAATGCATTCGCCAATTCACCAAACCTGAAATCCTTCCCGTCCCGCCGCGGCGTCGTCCCGTGACCACTGTCCAAGCACGACGTCATTGACTCAGTCCCTTCAAGTTGGGGTCGTCGTCGAAGTCTCCTTGACTCCGTACCACTACCATGTACACCCTCCCGTCGTCGTTGGTCCCTGCTGCACCCCACTGCCCATCGACGTGTCGTGCATAGCCAGCCACACCGCTATTACCGCGTACCCGCCGTCCGGTGTTGCGGTGTTGCACGGTGTCGACCCGCGGCGGTGTTGCCAAAAGAGGCAACCCGGCGAGCGCCCAAACGTGGCGCTCGCGAGGTTGCCTCACCTCCTCCCTCTGAGGTCTCACTTCGCTTTACGTGCCACAACATTCAGCACAGACGGGGCTCGAGCTCGGGCCCTCTCGACCACCACCACGAGCGCCCAGCGTGCAAACGTGCCCGACGGATGGACCGTAGGCACGCGAGCGACGGACAGGCGAGGACGAGCGCCCCAGGGCCAGGGCAAGACCCATGCGCGAGCACGGTGGACACAGGGACGGCGAGCACGCGCGGGAAAGGCGGGCGCGGGATCAGCGACAAGGGCGGATCGCGGGCGCGGATGGGAGCCGTGCGGACGGCGAGCGGATCGCGGACATCGAGGTAAGTGCAGATGCACGCGAGCGAGCCCACTAACGCAGACACAGGACGCGGTGACGTGCAGCGCGACGCACACGACGACGGCAAGCACGCAGGGCCAATGCCCTGTGTGCAGGCACGGCCGACGGACGCATGGCGGGCAGACAAGCGGGTGGGCGGGCAGGCAGCAACACACCGACCGCGAGCGCGCTGGGCGGGTGCGTGAGCGAGCGAGCGGGTGGAGGGTACAGGGTACGGACGCCACGACGCGCACGACGACGGCGAGCACGCAGGGCTGATGCCCTGCGTGCAGACGTAGCCGACGAACGGGCGGCGGGCGTATCAGTGGACAAGCGGAGGACGAGTGGGCAGGCGGGCGAACAGGTGGGCGAGCGGGCGGGCGAGCGGGCACAAGAACGGGCGGGCGAGTGAGCGGGTGCACGAAGTATGGGCAAGGTGAGTGGACAGCGGGAAAGGGGTATATCGCAGACACTGACGAACGCACATGCAGGCGGAAGAGTGAGTAGGCGGGCAAGCAGACCAGCGGGCGAGTTGCCCGTCTGCTGCACGACGCGCACGTCGTCCCCACCTCTCCATCCCTGCAACATGCACGCGCTGTGAACAGCAATGCTGTCGCATCGTCGTCGGAAGAAGACCACCTCACGTCCCCGGTCACGTCTCCACTCTCGTCCGCGCCGCGATTCCCAGAAACAGGGTGGCGAGCCGCTTAGCCCCCCACGCCCGGGGTTCCTCGCCGGCGACCGACGGTCGTGGTCCGCATCAAGCGAGGCTAGTGAAGCCGAAGCCAACAGCGACTCTGATGTCACCGCGGCAGTGCACGGCGACCGCAGGCGCACTGGGCGAACACCCAGCGCGCAGATATGGCCAACGAATGTGCAGCCAGGTAGGTGAGGAGGTGGGTGAGCAAGCAGACAAACGGGCGGGCGAGACAGTAGGAATAGCAGAAGAGTAGTCGTGGTACGGTACATTTCAATCGGTGATGTGTAACAATAAAATGGAAATAAATGTCATTATATTCGGATGAACGTGGATTGCGCGAGAATAAGGACATTCTCTGTGCAATGACAGCAATCGATTGCAATGTACAGTAATATGTAGCTAATGGACGCGGATCGAGGAGAATGAACAGACCATCTGACGAAGAGTGGCTTCGGCGGAGAGGCGAAACCGGGTCGCCCTGCCCTCCGGACCCTGAGACTCGACGATTGAGGAAGCTTCCAAGTCATCGCCGGTGAAGGAAGCGGATTCTTCGAACAACGTCTTGTATTTTCCGGTGGCATCGGGAGCGTTTAGTTCGTTGAACAGAGCCTGCGCTTCGTCAGGTCGGCGGATGTGAGGGAGGAACTTCTCCGGCCCGTCTAGGAGATCTTGAAGGTGCGTCTTGTCGACAGCTTCCTTGACGGCCTGCCGGACCTCGGACGAAGAAGCCAGAGGTGCGGAACTCAAAGGAGGAGACGATCCAACAGTCAGGCGCCAAGGTGTAGACGTAGCGACTGGAGGGGGCACGCTAGGCGACGGTTCGAACAAGTGGTCGCGACGCCGAACGCGAGTAGCCGACGAGTTCGACCTGGAGGGAGGCCAGGCGGGAACCTGTGAGAGGGTCGCGGCCCAACCGCCCGGGATAGCGCTATTCGAACTGTCGTTACCCGTGTTGCAACTCGGATTCGCCGAGAGCGAGGTAAAGCTCACGTCGCGGCGAGGTTCCGGTTGAGAGAGATGAGGCGGTGGATCACGCCTCCGAGGACTTGATTCACTCTTAGGTGTGGAGATTGTTTGAGCGGGCGCGGACGTCGAGGAGTGACGGACTTCGCTCGGCCGAGCTGGAGGCGAGAGGGGAGGATAGTATCTATGGAACTCACCCAGAGGTTGCATTCCGCTCGCCTCAGTCCTGTCTCCCTGCTCCAGCGATGTTGATTCCGGCATCGAAACAGTCGTGAAGGGAGACGAATCGTAGGAGACTCGTGTTGCTGAGGTTGGCCGAGAACAGATGAGTCGCGTCACCGACGAAGGAAGTGCCCGTAGCGTGCGGCCGGGTCATGTCGAATGAGAACGGCTTAAGGCGCGTCAAGACATGAAGGAGGATGTAGAAAGGGGTATGGCCTACGCTAAGGAGTGGACCGGATCCTCTGAATGTCCACCGATGTGAGAGTCGGTGGGCCGGGGACTCTCGGTTCAGGAGGATCCGGGCTCGTCAGCGATCTTGAACGTTGGTAGTCGCGCTACGACTAGCGAGAAGGGCGTGAAGAGTCGTTAGACGTCGTGAGGTCCGTGAACGTGGCGAGGAGCCAACGTAGCGGTCGTCGTGCAGCGAGGAGCTGGCACGGTTAGCCGGCGAGGAGCGCGACTACAAGAGAGTCGAGGGGAAGTCTTCTCAGGCGTGGCGAGGGGCCAGCGCCGGTGAATCGAAGGGCGGAGAGCTCCTTCGTAGCTGGAGACCTTACTCCCGAGCTCAGACGGCGCGGTACAGCGCACTCGTATGAGGTAGTAGGAGATTAAGATGGTCTAGCGTCTATTAACTCGGGCGCGCCTCGGAGTACCGAGCACTTAGTAGGTACAACTCAGGATACTTACACTAAGTACGTGCTACGAAGACCTGCGGGTCGTGATCGACGGCGTCCGTAACAACCTCTCCGTTTACTGCGCCTGATGCGAGCAAAGTCGTCTGGATCAAGTTGAACTCAAGTCCCCGTACGGGGCCCGTATGTGTCGAGTTGCGTAGGATGAGCGACTGCCGGACGTATCACGACTGAACGAGCGCCGTGTCACAGTGGTCGATATTAGTCACTCACCATTTGCGACGATCTTCATAGAGTCCCAAGTGTCCAGTTCTCCATGCCCGCGCCCCGCAGTCGACTTGCATCTGTATAGCCCCATGCTAAACGGCTGAATCTACGCGCATGCCTCGCAGGCCAACGGACGCCGGCCGAAGCAGCCGCAGTGTGGATCGATCGCCCAACGTCGGCTATTTCAGTGATCCTCGGAGAGCATTCGTCGGCTAGTCAGAGTGTTATTCGCTAGCCGACATTGGCTGCGCCAATGCGATATGGCGCAGCCGATGTTGGCCTGGTGGGCGGCGCTTTTTCACTGCCCGTTCGGAACGACCGCAGATTGGCTCGGAGAGCATTGCTTCTATGAGCAGTCTCAGGCTTTCAGACTTACGGAGCTACCAAGCAACATCACCACCGAAGTGACAGGTATGTAGTCAGTCTAGCCTCCTGGTGACCGGGACTTCTGTATCGACATGTCGACAGGACTCATTGTTCTCACAACACAACACAAATCCCCGAGATATTCATTGCAATATAGAAACATAAAACGTTTACGCCAGCGCGATCATCGTCCGACAGGGTTCCTTCCGACTACTTAGACATGACACGACGTCAACAAAAACCTATAGGCGCAGGATGAGCTGCTTCACGCCCGACATTCACAACCCGACATCGTTCGTGAGCGAGCCCGTCGTGAGAAGGTCCATGTGGAGTGCCATGACTCCGTCCCGGTCGTGTGCCTCGATCGCTGTTGCGCGTCCATCTACAAGCCGAAAGAAGAAACGTGTACCTCGAGAGAGCACCAACAGCCTTTCTTGCACGGGTGTCGACAACGTCTCAGAGCCGGTTGATCTTCCGCTCCAGGTCATCGACGAGACGTTTTTGCGAGGGCTGTAGGCGATATCAGCGTGACCCCGGGCCTTTACGCAACACTCACCGGGGAACTCTACCTAAGCCGCTCCAATTACCCCGAGATCATGTACAGCGTATACGGGCCGCATCTCATCGGGTATATGGCTCCGGTCACCAGGAGCTACGAGCGCAAGGTTAGCACTGAAGGCACCTTGTCAATGACACTTACGGTACTTTGGCGGCGGCGGGCCTGCGCGTCCTGGCGCTGCCGAACTGTTCCGGTCGGCGCGCCGCGCGGTGGGCCCTGCGGAGGTCCTTGAGGGGGGCGCACCGCCAGGCGGAGGGTTCATACGCTGCAGTGGGGGCACGAACTGGCCTTGCGGCCCCGGCTGCTGTGTTGCGGCGGCGGGTGCTGAGCGAACTGCGACTGGCCAGGAGGTCCCATGGGCGGCGGGCCTTGTGGCTGTGGCGTCGCGCACGTGTATGGGCCGGACGGGCCCGGCACGCCTTGGGACGGAGCACCAGGAGGGAGTCGCCCTTGCATAGGAGGTGGGGTCTGGCCGGGCAAAGGAGGCGGCGCCTGTGGCGAGCGTGCTATGCCAGGCCCTGGCGGCGGGGACATCATCATCCGGCCAGGAGGCGGAGGACCCGACGGTGGATGCATTGGGAAGGGTCCTGGACCGCCCTGTGGCGGAGGCGGACGTTGCTGCACGCTTCCAGGACGCGGTGGTGGCGGCAACGCGGGCTGTAGCTGGCCATGACCGAAGCTCGGGGTGCTAGGCAGGCTCGGGGACATGGGCGCTTTAGGCAAGGGAGCGGTGATGGCAGCTGGTCTACTGGTGGGTCCTGTTCCGCGTTGCTGGGCGATACCTGAGGGCGCGTCGTTCCAACCGACGGCATCACGTTTGGGTGGCAGTGGCGGACCGGAAGGCGTGACATACGCGGCTCTCGGTGGGGGAGGAGGGAGCATGATAGGTGGTGGAGGCGCTTGGCCCACGATCTTCTGAGGTTGTGATGATGGGCGGCCGTAAGGGTTTGCATTGGGATGGGCCATCGCTGCAGTTGGCTGATACGGCTGCGAGGGCTGTGTGGCCTGAGCAGGATGGGCATACAGATTTCCTACCGCGGCAGGAGGAGCGTATGAAAAAGCCGCGTTCGACGCGCCCGCAGAGCCTGCGCCGCACGGGTCGTATAGTGACGACGGTGCCGCGGGGACCTGCGTTGCAACGGCCGGCTGAGTCGATGCAGCATATGCTGGGTAGCCATAAGCCGAGCTCGAGGATGCGAGCGGGACTACCTTAACGACGCAGACCTCGGAGGCTGTTTCTGCTCTCCGGAAGCCTTCAACAGGCGGTCCCTGATGACCTTGAAATTCATAGACGAGCCTGTGGAACCCTGGCACGATTCAGGACCAGATAGCTTGTACGTGACGGCGTCAACGTCCTCACCGCTAGTTTTCTGCTTGAGATCCGTATCTTCATATTTGATCGTGCGGCAGAACACCGTGACGTCTTCGACGAATGTCTGCAGGGCAAGCGCGTGCGCCGTATATCGAGATCCCTGCAAGATCGCTGGTGACGATCGACTGGAAGAGGCGTAGGTACTGCAGAGCGATTGTCTGGCTCTCAAAGTATGCCTTCTGCGTCTTCTGCAGGAGCTGCAGACCGCCCTTGACCGCAAGAAGAATGGCATCTGCGAAGGGTCTCGAAGAGAGACAGAGAGAGACAGCGAAATCGAAGTCGCCGAGAACGAGTGCCTTTGTGACCAGACGGTCAGTCGCCGACTCGTCGGGCGGATAAATCTTGAATGTGTTGCTCTGCAGAGCCTCCGAAGCCACAGATGAGGGTCCCGAACTGATTGTCGCGAAAAACGAGGCTTGGTTCTGCACGGGCGAGAGGGTCGATGGAAGAGAGGGTTGATGAGCAATACTAGTCGACGGACGTGAGGATCGACAGAGACTGTGGGCAAAAGAGGCCGTGGGCGAACAGTACAGCGGGAGAGATGGGTAACGGGCGAGTGCGAGTGCGGAATGACGAGACGATGGGCAAGCGGAGCGGCGGCTGAGACAGCGGGCTGGTGGGCGAGTGGGCGAGCGAGTAGGTGGGCGAGAGAGCGCGGGGTACAGGCAAGAACGGGCGAGCGGACGAATCAGCAAGAAACGAGGGCGAGATAGTGAGAGGATGAGAGTGGACCCAGGCAGGCTAACTTGCTAACGACAAAGTGAGTAGGCGGACGAACGTGCGTGCGAGTGAGTGGAAGACTGCGCGAGTGAGTGTCAACTCACCGTTGGGCGTGGTGGGCGAGCCGACAAAGATAGGGGAGAGTGCCAGTTATGGCGCTGGCCTTCGAAGAAGTGTGCGAGGTCTTCGCCGTCGGTATTTGTGCCGGCGGCGCAGAAGTTGAACTGGAGGCCAGACGAGCAGGCGAGCGAGCTGGTTGGACGGTGCGTGGGCGGGCAGGCAGGATATCGACGACGAGGGCAGACGCGCAGGAGCGGACGCGCAGGAGGACGCAGGTTTTCAGGTCCACGGGTAAACGGGGGTCAGCGGGTGAGCTGGCGGACGGGCGGGCGAGAAGACAAGTGGGCGAGAAGGCGGGCGAGCGAGAAGACGGGCGAGCGAGAAGACGGGCGGAACGCAGCTGAACGCATCATGCGTCCACCGAGTGGGATGGGCCCGAGGAGCCGCTCGCGGGCCTTCTGCCTCCTCGACGGCGTCTTCTCCTGCCTGCCTGCCTGGCGAAGGCTTCTTCGAGGATGACGGCCGGGTCGATGGGAAGAAGGACAGATGCGGGAGGTGACTGGTGTGGGCGAGAAGGGCGGGCGAGCGACTCACCTGTACTACCCTGCCGGGGCCCGCCTCCCCCAACTCCGTGTTATCATCGCTTCTCCGTCGTGCCTTAACGCTACTGCGCATCGTTGACGTTGAGCGCAGCGTTGCAGTGAGGGTGAGTCGATGGGGACGTGGAGGTCAAGTGGAGGTTGCGCAACTCGCGAGAAGTGCTAAGCGCCTCAGCCACGACACGTCACACGCACTCGCCGGACCGGGACTTCCCTCACTTCAGCCCCTCCCTGTTCAGTGTCTGTTACCTCCGCTTCACTCTCGCTTGCCCGCCGCCAACCGCCAACCTCTAGTACACGCAGATGGGCCACTCCGTAACGGACGGCACGTGCATTGGAACACTGTCGCGACGCGCTTGAGGCACTCGTACCGTTCCACAGCTCGAACACGACGGGATCAAGCGCAAAACGAGTCCAGACGGAGAAGTCACAAGAATGAGGAGCAAGAGCGATGGGCGAGGGCTAAGCAGAGAGACGAAAACCAAATGTGAGTCCTCTGTTCTGTACCTACTATATAACGACTTCTGTTGCTACGCGCATTGACGAGCTTAAAGCTCCGAGTCGTGGTGCCTACTTGTCCACCAGCTCGCGCATCCAGCCCATCCTCTCACTCATTCGCTTGCCCACCCGCGCGCCGCTCTCACCCCCAAGTTCTGCCCTCTCGCGCTCGCTCACTCATTCACCACATACCAAGTCACGCTTGCCTCATCTCCTGCTCACCCGCGCATCCGTGGGTTGCGGCCGCAGGGTCAGCATGTCAGGTGAGTGCACCGCTGTCCATCCCGACCCCATTGCCAACCCCGGCAAGTGATTGTCCACCAGGACGACTGGACAGAGACGAGCCCGACGAAGACGGCCCTACCGGTTCGCTCGGTTCCAGCACCTCGCGCGGCGTATCCTCTCCACCAACTGCCTTAACCGCTCGCTCGTCACCTACCTCGTTTGGCGTGCACTCTCTGCGGCGAACCGCGGCAAGCCGCTCCTCCCCCGCCTTTGCCGCACGGTCTCTGACTCGGTGTTCTACGTGGAATTCCTGCTCCTCATCCCACGGACGCCGCGCCACATCGACTTGCAGCACTGGGACGAGGTGTACGGCCCGAAGTACGAGATATCGACGAAGACGGAGTGTGAGTGCATGCGAAATCTGACGGCGCGCGACCAGCCGACGACACAAGCCCGTTGGTGCAAACCCATACCGCGCACGGACCCACTGGCATCGAAGAATTGGCCGCCTAACAGATACGGATCACGAACCGACGCGCACGGGTACGACGCGGGCCAGTTCGCCGTACATAATGCTCGGTACAGCACTGCGACAAGCAACAGTCCACCAGGCATCCGGCGCGGCGTGCAATGGCCTGCCGAGCAACAGCCGGGCATACCCCAGCTCGACGCGCATACGCCCGTGAAGGATGAGTGTGCCGCATCCTAGCCCGAGGAGGAGCCAGGCCACCGAGTACGAACAGGACGAGCGGGAGAGAGCCTGCTGCGCGCACCCACTGGGCAGACGGTAGCTCGCACGTTTCTACGGTACATTATGATTAGCTAGCGCTGTTCTGTACAGTAGTAGTGATCAATAAAATAATATTGAGTTGACTTCTATGCCCTGGCTGATCTTGGCTGACGAGCTTGGATGGTTAACGTTGATCGACCGCCCAACGTCGGCTATGCCAATGGTCCTCGGGGAGCGGGCGTCGGCTAGTTGCGATGTCATTCGCTAGCCGACATTGGCTGCGCCAGTGCGAAATGGCGCAGCCAATGTCACGTTGGTGGCCGGCGCTTTCTCACTGCCCGTTTTGAACGGGCTTCGTCGTGCTGCGAACAGAGCGTGTGACCGATTGCGATGGGGACGTAACCGAGACAGGGCCCGCGTTGCCGCAGGCGGTGACGGCGGGCGGCCGGGCGATCCACAGCGCAGCGAGGGAGCGCCCATTTGGCGCCCCAGCCATCCCGCGAGCGATCCGCCGCCCCGCCGGCGTTTTACTGCCTGTGGGCCGATGTTTGCCCCACCAATGGCATTCCAGTTTGCGCGATCCCGCGCAAAGAATGGCGGGTTCGACTCCCCCGCGAGCACCGCGCGGCCGCGCAGTGCAATGCGCCGCAACCGCGCGCAATTTGAAACCCTTGATTTTCCCGTGGATCCATCATACCTGTCGATCGGGAAACACGTGATCGCGAGTACCCTGGGGCTGCGCGCCTCCTCATTCTACCACTTAAACTTGCAGGGCGACCGCCGCTTCTCCCACGTCCCCAACGCAACATCTCGCCCATGACCGACTCCTCGAGCTCAGCCCCCGCCTCCCCTCGTCCCGCCCCACGCGGCGCTCGTATCCGTCCATCGCTCCACCCCGTCTCGCACGATACCGCCCCGCTTGCTCTGGCCGCCGCCACTTCGATAGCTCCTGCGGCCGGCCACGCCGACACCCCAGGGACTCCCGCCACTGACGTCGCTCACTCCGCGCTTGGAGTCGCACCGGCTGCGGGCGCTGAGCTCCGCCGAAACCCCGCAATCCGTCGGTCCGCGCGGCGCGCACCCCCGCAATACCCGCCGCCGCCCGCATACGAGACGGCGGCTCTCCCGTTGGATGCACTCGCGCCGCCTTCCTACGTCCGGCCCAGCGAGGATGCGCCTGCCATGCCCCGCTCGCTCGCGCCTCACGACGCATTGGCTAGCATACGGTGGATCGTCGAGGACATGAAGCCTCACCCGTGGTACGTTGCCTTTTCTTTCATTCTAGGTTCCATTACTGAATCTTTCAGGGTGCACTACGAGGCGTACGTGAAGCGCACCGGCCTGTTAGTGACGGCGTCGAAGGTGTCGAGCGCGCCGCAGGGCGCTCCTTTAGTATGGTACATGGCAGTTTGGGCGTCGACGGAGCAGCAGGCGATGGACTTAGAGCGGTACGTGGAGGATCTGTTCGAGGAAGACGGGCGGGATGTTATTTGAGGTGGGCGCCGCCCACATTACTATCCCGTAGTACTACTACACACGTTCTGGCTACACCACTACATATATTCAGTGTTTGCGACACTCAGCTCGCTTTCTCCCAGTCGACTTGTCACTTAGGCAATGCGCTCGCTGCGAAAGAAAGCCCGGCCGACCCGGGTAGATGTCTTCATCATGGCCAATCCGCCGCGCAATCCGCGCATGAAATGCCCGCCTCTTGCAAGGGCCTGGCGCCGCGCACGTAGACGCGCCCTAGTACAAGCTGCGTACAGCCGCTCGGTTTCTTTTGTAGCCGACGGTCGGCCAATCAACGGGTGTGGGTTGTGTATAAAGCGTCGGCCGCCGTCGGCTGGCCCTATACCATTGGTGGTTTCGGCACGTCGGTTACTCTATGATTATAGGGCAAAGACGCTGCCTGGTGTGGAGGAGAATCGGCACGACTCCAGTGAGTACCGAAGCCACTCGCCCTCAACCGCCCTCTCCTCCACGCCCGTGTTCCGCGCATCCTTCCTCACTCGGCGCGCCTCCACATCCGCCACCTGTATCTGCTCCTTCGCATCTGCGCTCTGCACGTGAATCCTCGAGCTACGCACCCCTATCCTCGTCCTACGCGCCCTCGACCGGAACTGTCCACACAAGTAGCTGCCCGGACGAAGGCTGGGATGCGCGGACTCCCCGCGCACCCAGTAGTCGCTCCGCCGCCTCTGCCTCACCACTCGAGGTTGTACAACTGTGCGGCGCTAAGTTCAGCGCGCCACAGCGTGCACTGGGACTGCAGCGGCCAGGGTGCCTTCATGGACACCTACCTCGCGCTGCAGGCGTCCACCATCTCCCAGCACGTCGGCATCATGATCTACGTCTTTGAGGTCGAGTGGCGCAACATGCCCAAGGACCTCCAGTACTACCGTGGCTGCCTCGCCGCGCTCCAGAAGTGCAGCCCCGATGCCGCCGTCTTCATCCTTGTGCACAAGCTGGACCTCGCCCGCGGCTCGCGTGCGCAGACCCTCGAGAGGCAGACACTTGAGCTTCACCAGGCAAGCGGGGACGTGCTTATGACCGTGTTCGGGACGAGCGTATACGACGACACCACCCTCGCGCGCGCCTGCAGCGCAACCGATGTGGTCCTCTTTGAGCGTACCACCTTCCTCGTCATCGGGACCTCCTCCCCTCCCTCCGCGCTGCTCGTTAGCTCCCCCGTGCTCTCCTCCCCATCCTCGAGCGCGCCACAACGAACGGCCTGCTCACGCCAACCTCGCAGAGCTCACTCCTCGCGCGGGAGTCCGAGCTGATCAAGGTGTTTGCTCAAGTACGCATGCTCGCGCGTGCATGAGGAGTTCCACTCACTCGAGATGGAGCTGGACGAGTTCACGGTGGTGCTCGACGAGCTCACGAAGAGCATGTACGTGCTCATCGTGGCGCATGACTCGACAATAGGTGCGTGGGTCTCGGTGAATGCATGATGGAGTGCGACGTTCATGGATGCTTGCAGACTGCGGCGCTGAGGATGAACATCCGGCTTGCTCGGAAGAAGTTCGAGGTGCGCGCGGCGACATCATCATGAAGGGCCACGATGAGGAGTTGCCACATCGGCACGGCGGTACAAACCAGCGGCTTAGCGTGTATGTCGGGCGAGTTCTGGTCCGCGTAAGATGCGCTGTTCGTGGCGCCGGAGGACGCACAGTTCAGGTACGTGTACTGCGTCAGCCCCAATGACTCCCAGCTCACGAATCAGCTCGGGGGCTGGTGGCTGAAGATTTCGCCAGTCCGACGTCCCTCCAGGTTCTACCATGATCGAGGACGATGCGGAGGTGCTCGACTGGGGACACGAGGACGACAAACAGACTGCCCAGCACGGCCCAGAAGACGTGGAAGATGCAGTCTCGCTTGGTGGCGACGAGGACGACATGCAGGACTGCTATCCGTACCAAGCTACGGAGCAGGAGGTCGCTGCTCAGCCTCCAAATTCTTATTCGACGTCTCATGGCAAGCGAGAATCGTATGGCTCGAAGCAGTTGGGGGCGCCACCTCGCAATCCGGATTTGCCCCACCTGCGACGTTCTCAGTCTGCCGGCAAGCTCACTCATGCACTTCCCCCGAAACCTGCCTTATCCGTGGCACCTGTGCATCCGTCTCCTGCTCAGGCGAGCACTCTGGCTAGCTCCATGATACAGCGCGAGCCGCGGACGAATGACCTCGGGATGCCCGTCTCCGGCAGCAACCACGATGCGCTTCCTTCGGACTGGGAACTTCGACAAGCTAGGAGCGGTGGGGGTGAACAATATTATTATAACACCAAAACGCACGAGTCCACTTGGACTCAACCGGTGAGCGGCAAGTCGTCCCCAGCAAAGGACAAGGAGCGAGGCGTGTCGCGCGGAAGGGAAGGTGTATCACCTTCCCGACGCGTTATTTTGCCGGAGCGGCGGATGCGTCACAAGGAATCGAAACGGGCTGCGCACGATCTCGTACGAAGATCGACATTATCGTCCTGCTACGACTCCTGGTGGTGCTGGTGGCACGGAGCTGAGCGGCAGACGAGACGGTCGGACAGCCCACTCGCCAGTGCAAGCTGCGTACGCAGACTCGTACGCAGCGCCATCTCCACGTCCGTTGCCAGAGCGGCGTCGCACACGGTCGTTGTCCCAACCTGCTCGTTGGGACTACCTAAGCGAGGAGCGGTCTGGGCTTTTGCGCAGAGAGCAAACACCTCCGAGGGCGCAGGAGCGCGACTTGGCCGACGTACAACGTGGCAACCATTTGTCTCGCATTTCGATGAACTTGGACCCTCCGCCTCGCCACAGTCGTGCCCGTGGTCGGCAGGACCGCATGGACTTCGACGTCTCTCCTCGAAACGCATCCTAGATCGCATCGCTACCGGACGTCCGTGGTTGCACCCGACCAGCCATTAATTGCTCCTCTACAGGCCACCGACGGGCATCTATCCGTTCTAAGTGCGCAGACATCACAATGGCGGGGACACAAACGTCTCAAGGGAGCGAGGACGAGGGACACGCCCAAGACGCGCCTCGGACGATAGCCGGAGACTGCGGGCCGGAAGCAGCGCCCTCGACGAGCATTGGGGACCATCAGCGAGATTCGGGCCTCGACCTAGGCTGCAGTTTTCAGCGTCGATCGAGCGTCGACCATCCGAGTCTAGCCTTGTTCAGGAGGCAGCTCGCCGCGCGGTCTCTGGAGAAGATATGTACAAGTGGGCAAGATTTGGCGCCTGCGTCCCGCCACCCGTCCTCCTCGCGCCACCGCCGGCGTATGCCAGCTGCTTCTGTCCGCAACCCAACCGCAACCTGTGTCTCGACACGGCTCTCGCCTCAGCGCAGAGCTTGCTTCCTGCGTACGTGCCACGGACGACAAGCTCCTCAAACTCGGCTTCTCGCACGCCAATACCACCCCCCGCGGATGCTTGCGAATGATCCCGCTACCAGCCAAGGTCGCGGCATCACCGGGACTCTACTGTAAGTGGGATCTGAGGCTGCCGTTCGACTCCTTCCCTTCCATTCCCACTCTCTCCCGGCTGCTCTTTCTGCTCCCATTCTCCTCTTGTTACCTCTGCTCTTGCACGACATTACGGTGCGAGAAGGTGTAAACGCTAATCTGCGGCGTATTGTATCACTGATCAGTACGGCGTGGCGGAGGAGGGATGTCCGCTCGACGTCAATACGAGCATGCGCGAGGAGGATTCTGATCGGTGAACGTACGTCGCGACTTAGTTAGTATGTTATCTATGCATCTACTAACCCACACGCTCCTCGGCCAGCTGAGGTCGCCGCCGTGGCGGTAGTGATGTCGCACGTCCATGAAGTCATACGGCATACAAACGGGTGAGCTTTGCTTTATGATACCGTGTACTCGTCTCAATAGGGTTAAGTCTGGAGAGGGACTAAGTTGGGTTGGACCGTCGGCTGGTCATGGTTGGGACGAAGTCTTAGTCCGAGTCTACGACCCGCCCGCTGTTTTGTTTCTACTCTCTGTCCGCCATGCTATTGGGTCCTTCACCATAGGTAGCGGCTGGTAGTCAGCTCAGATCAAGACCATTGCCTGCCGTTGGTTCACGTCCGGTGCGTTCCTGTTTCCCGTGTATGGGTGTTGCAATTGTGCTCATCATCCTTGATCTGCCGCCCGTAATTTAAGTTTAGGGACTCCTTTATCTTCCGTATAGGTGTCGTCTCCTGCACATCAGTCATCAGTCTCACTAAGTTATACAAAACCCTCGTAAGCGAAGAACGCGACGTCCGAGGTGCCTAGCAGGTCCAAACTCCGAGGCCTCGTATAGTACGTCATCTTGCACCACAGAGTGTCTCCTTCCGCGAAGACTGACAATCTAGACATGGTTCATCAGGAAACTATGCGATCTCAACTCATATGGGCGGTGATATACGGGCGACCACCCGCACAGCTCCCGAAAGAGATTCTTAGCATCTCAATTCCCATCAGCTGTGCTCAACTCCTACGACGCCTTGCACTACAATCTGTCTCGTGGATGGTCGATTTCAGTTCGTTCGACCCTGAAGATGGATCCGAGACGAACGTATGGACGCGTCCAGGGTTTGTTTCGGACCTGTTATGATCCTGGGGGATTGCGACGGTAGACTCAGTTCAACATCGCCTAGTTCCTTGCATTCTCGCGGACTTCATTCATCCTAGCACGCTCGTTACCGCACGCTTCTCTCGTCCCAGACAACCCTCTCGCACACTGCGTCTGACTCCTATTATGCTATAGGCACGTGTAGGCCTAGTAACTTACCTCATGTCGCCAGTTCGGGATGCTTCATCGTACTATGAAAGTACGTATTCAAGCCGTGTTTGAATTGGCCTTGTGTCGAAGCACTTGAGCTGCGAAGGGAAGCTTCAAGGAGATGGTCAGGAACTCTGACATAGCGCCCGGGCCGAGCTGCGAAACTACTTAAATTTAGCGTCCGCGAAGCGCCAGAGATTGCATCTTCACTGGTCGTCCGCGGTTGTTCCCAGGTTGTTCCCGACCACTCAAGTACTCATCGCTCGATTCGCTCCTCCGCAGAACACTAACAGGCCACGTCAGGATACGGCCGATGTCATCGCATGACACTATATGCCATCGAATTGACCACAAAACACAGAAGATCGAGGTCGGTCGGGCGAGGAGGGGAGCACACGCAATTAATGACGTGAGTTGCCTTTTGAGTGACACTGCGACTCGACCGTAACGTCAGGTCCTCAGTACTGAAGTACTGACGTTGCCGCCCTGCTGCACATGTGGGTTAGGACCTAACTTCCGGTACACGGCCACAGGGTCGTGCTTACACCGAGCGGGTGCGTATGCCTCCCCGCGTGCAACCGCTCAGCACTCAGCACTCCGCACACAAACCCGGTCCACCTCGTCTACTTGCCACAATCACTACTCGGGCTTTCTGCGATCAATCCTTGCCCAGTTGGCCTACGCTGTCTTGAATTTCCCGCTGGGCAACTTCGTGCGTTTCACTCTCCTACCATTTCCTCGCCTTGGTCCCCGGCTCATGCTCCTCCGCCACGAGCCGCTTCGCGTATGTCAAGCTCGGTATTCGCAGTCATAATAACTCCAAACTGATATCAGCTCGTCTACAGATACTACGATGGCGATAGCAAGCACACTCTTGCGAATGAGGGTCAGGCATGTCGAGCTCGTGAATGCTATGTCTGTATGCGCAAGACACATCGCATTCGTATAAAAAATTGGTGACGACAACATCCGCCATTTTGTGGGACCGAGAAGCGCATAGACGAACGACCGTCAACAACGAGCGAAGTTTCCGACTTGCGGTACGTCCCCTGAATTCTCGTCTACTCTCCTCGACACTCAGAATTCCTCCCAGTAAAGCCGGTGCACTACGTGTGCCGTACTCCTGTCCCCTCTCGACTCGGCACACACCATCAACCGCCACTCGCGCCTCTCCTGTCCCATCCGCATCCTCGTCCAGCAAGGCTAAGATCGAAGGACATCGACTGGTCCGTCTTCAAAGACCGCATCATACGTGCGTCGGCCATGCCTGCGCGGACGTCGGAAGGCGCAATCGGGCGCAAGGAGTGGTAGGACGGCGCAGAGAGGCGGCAGACGAGCATAGGAGAGTGGAAGGAATAGATCATTCCCGGGCGCAGTGCGTGATACTTACTCTCATGACGTCGATCTGTACTGACGAATGTCCTTCCCTGGGCGTCGCTCGCATAAAAGGGAAGAGAGGGTGTTCCGTTGCGATACGAGGAACAAGCGTGTCTGTCTGTTTTCGTGGACGCGTCCGGAGACTGCAGCGAACGTCCTCCGTCGTACGTCGCTTTTTCACGAACACGACCCACTTGGAGACCGGTTTGACTCATGCGTGGTGAGCCCATCCCTCGCTCGCTCGCAGCCATCGTAATTGGTTTATGGCATAGTGCCTACGAGTTGATGCGGGCACTGGGATGCACTGAAGACGGACTCTACCGGCGGACGAAATCGGAGAAAGATCTCAGGGTGCGCCACCCTTTCACGGCCACCTCCAAGGCTTATCGTTTGGGACGCGAAGAGAAAGTATGTACCAGGGATCCTTGCGCGTAGCGATGCTAAAAGTCATAAGTTACATCACAGCACGCGAAACGGCTCGACCAAGCACAAGTGCATTCGACACCAGCCAATGTGAAAGACCTCGCCTCGGTCTAGAGAGGTCCGTCGCTCGCCGGTATGACCTCGCGAACCATGGGCGACGCGCTGCTACTAGTAGACGTTGCGATCGACGCGAAGGAGGTGTACGCTCCGCAGTCGCATCGCGTGGTACCGCGATGCCGGTGATTGGTGGGCCCACCCACACCTCCGAGCAGATGCTGCAGATCTCGCCATGGCTTTCAGGCGTCGATGAGGCATGTTTCATCCCGTTGTCGTGTACCTGGACGTCCGACCCGATGCATATGTCGTTTATTACGCTAGGATGTGTCCACGACGTCGGCGAGCAACGTTGAACGCCTCATACGCCGCAGCAACGCGGAGATTTGTCTCCCTGTGGCAGCTACACGTTCAACTGGAGCCGCGTGTCTGAGGAATAATGGGGAGGCTATCACATTTTGCTCTTCCCGGGAATCCCAGATGAATTGCGGGGACGCGTGGTCTTTCGCAGAGCGGTCGCAGGTGCGTATTTACGGTGCGATCTCTGTAAGGTGCCACACTGATGCGAGGATTACAGCGTCCCACCGTCGTCGATACTCGAACTTCTTTGAGCGAACCACGCACGTACTACAGGCGTTGTCTCCTTGTCCTCCAGTCAGCAGACACGACCCTGTCCCCGCCCCAACCCTTCTCATCATCCGGCAAGACCACGTAGGGGTCTCGAACGATCTTCGAATGCCGCATTGCGCGTCCGTGTGTAGGCGTCGGTGTCGCAGTCGGGCTTGTGGCGTAGGAGGGCAGCGCGGAGAAGCGCTGTGCGAGTCTGCGGGGATCCAAGGCACAGATGGCCTGGCTGCGAGGTGGTACGTGGTAGCTACCCTCGTGCGTTCGATCCTTGCTGACGACTTATGCTTTCGCTGTGCTGCTGTTTGTATGATTAGAACGTCGAACGATGCTCGTCGTCGTGACACGGGAGGTGAGCAGGATCATTTCGTGAGCGGGTGGCGATCGGTGCTTACCTGTCCATCCATTGCTCGTCATCCTCTGATGCATACGGCGCACCCCAGATAAGGTTTAGCTTGGGCGTGGTACACCCGTCGTCGCCCTTCGAGACTGATTTGTCTCGGATGTGGTGAGTCCAACATCGTTCACTCGCAGCGATTCAGTTACAACCTTCGAAGATGGTTTATGGCATGGTGCCTGCTAGTTACCGTGGGCGCTGGGATGCACAGAAGACGGACCGTACCGACGGATGCAATGGAAGACAGATCTCGTGGACGCTACCCCTTCCACGACAACCTCTCAGGCTTAGCGATCGGGACACGAAAAGCAAGTACGTACTGGGGATCATTTTGCGTAGCGATGTCAAAGGTCATACAACACAGCACGCGAAACGGCTTGACCAAGCACAAAAGCATTCGACCAACCAAGGTTAAAGACTTCGCAGGTTCAGACAGCTTCGTCGCTCGCCCATTCGACCGCACCCAACGTGGGCGACGCGCTGTTAGACATCGAGATCGGCACGAAGGCGGGCCTGTAAAGCTTACCACCCTTGTCAAACGTTGCCGCCCCCGGCCTGCTGCAAACGCATTTATGCGCAGTGCGTCTCGCAGACCCGGTTCCGTCCGCTACAACCAGGTACATCCCCCTCGCTTGTGATGCGCGTCTCAACCACCGATGATCCCACCGTCCAGCCAATTCCCATTCCCGTTATGAGATGCTCGGCGTCTCGTCCGCCTTCTCCTCGTCGACCTGTTACAACGCCCTAGAATATCTCTACGCGACCCAACTGACCAACTTCTTGGACAATGCGCGGAAGTGCAGCGTGTCCGCGAACATCACCGTCCCACCTGCGTCTTTGCTGGATGGACAATGATCCGACCTGGCCGCTCGGAAGAAATCGTCGCCTGATAGGCAGACGTGAGCAAGCTTCCCTCTGTACTCATTCATCCAACTGACTTTGTCTTTCAACAGGCCAGGATGCCCGATAGGCCCTGAGTACTGAGTCAAGACATGCTCATCGACCACAATCAAGGCAATGAGCCACATTTGTCAGCCGCGCGCCCGCTGGAGCGAAAGTTGAGCAAAAGACCTTCCAATGTTCCGACGCTCGTCTGGTTCCGGCTATCGTGTCGGATTAGGGCGCGAGTGCGCTATCATCGCAGAGATCGCGGTCGTGGGTCGGTTCGTACAGACGTCGACCGGTTCTGTATAATCCTTTCCAGCTCAAGTCCTGCGCTTCGACGAAACGAGGCTAATAACTGAAGATTATGGATGCTGACCATAGATGCGTCAGATCTATGTGTGAGTGAGCTACGTTCCGCAAATAGGTACACATCGTACCTCGTATTGTTGCTAGCCAATTGGGCCTCAACACACTCATTGATTCTGGCCGAGAAAGGGGAGCACAGGCCGAGGACAGCAAGTCTCGTTGGTCATTTACGGCGACTGTCTACCTCTCGCGAAACCTCTTCGGACTCGAGTGCGAGTGCACTGTGCTTGTGGGCGTTGCGGTGGTAACTAGGTAGATTGTTGTAGTAGTTGCACTGAGTTCGTATCATTGGCAGGACGAGTTGCACTTCATGTCAATAATGTATCCACATTCATTATGCATAGATAAGCACAAATACAAAACGGACTGGTGATACTGCAAGACGCACACAACGCGAGCAGAGACATAAGCAAATCTGGTGGTGCAACGACAACCGACCGAGACGCGAGTCGCAGACACGATGAGGATAGTACGAGACCGTAACTACAGTCGGCGTGTTGGGAGGAGTCGCCGTCATGGAACGTTGCCATCTCGTCTTATGCACATCAAGTGACGCGACCAACACAGCGATGTACGCGAAGGGCTCGTCCGGGTGAGGCTTCCGATGACATGATCAAGACGAGAGAACGTCGTGGTACGTTCGCTGGGTCCGACGAGTCAACAGCCCCGGGCCCCGGTAATAGCTGAGCGGCAGGTCCGACGGAAGCTACGGGTCTGCGTTTGCGACGTCGTCGCCGGCTCCACACTTACCAGCATGCGATCGGCCTCGCGTAGCTTCTCGAAGTGCAATGGACCGCTTGCGTACTTAGTTCATGGAGGGTCTAGCACGATGTACGGACGGGTCTATGACAAACAGGTGTGAGTACGACGAGATTGAGTGGGTGCACAGCAGGCTAACTGTCTTCTCACCTGCTAGGCATGGCATTAGCGTCTAGACCGCCCACGAACGGATCCGATTTTGGACGAAACGGCAGTCGTGTTTGTTATTGATGGCCTAATCACGACCCCACGACGCTGTAGACTTCGTATACATCGGCGACAACTACCCCATGAGCAGTCCTCACTGACAGAATCAACTGATGCTAAGGGACCACACCTTGGGAGTCTGCCGAGCTTCATAACCGCACATGTGCGTACGCATGTCAGGCATCGTCGCTCCTCAGCCACAAGAATGAGCCGAGGAATATCAGGAGACATATGCTCACCTTGCCTTGGGCTATGCTGCGACGCCGTTCGTGTCTCACCGCATCCCGCGAAGATCTGACGGCGACCACGAAGAATCTACACCAGGTCAGAGTCTCGGAACGCCTCCAATACGGATCCCAGTATCCTGTGAATACTATCTGTGTGACGGCTCGCGCGGGTCTGGAATGGTCTCCAAGACGTCTGTCGGTCCGCGTTTCTGCGGTTCGTGAGCGTGTGGACAAGGACGGAGACGACCTGCATTCGCACCTTTTTTCTGCTCGCTACTAGCCTCCTCCATCTTCCCTCTCACATCCTCGTCTCTCGCGCAACGCGCACCCAGCCTTCCAACTCCGGCCACATTCTTCCTCCGTCTGAGTGCGTCGTTGCTGACTTCTCTTTCCAGGTTGCTCGGTGCACGCCGCAGTACAGCGAGTTGATCTCGACCGTCGTTCTGCGCATCCACCGTTCAGTGAGGCGCCTCCGTGCGTGCGTTGGTGCTCGTACTGTCTGACGCGTCCGCCAGCTCCCGTGTCCGTTCTCCACGTCTCGTCTAGTCAAACCCGTCCGCCCTGCTCGTGTCCCCGATACGTACGTCACGTCCTCATCTTGACATCGTGCTTACTGACGTAACTCGCCCGTCGTCAGTGAAGATCGCGGCACACGAGACACGGAGACGTACCGCCACTCAACCCTCTCCAGCGCCGCCAGCTCAGGAGGCCATTCTGCGGGTTGCAGAGCAGTCAACCAACGCGCACATACCGAGCTGGAAAGCGTGAAATGCGTATCGTAGGCTATGCGTTCACGAACACTAGTCGTACAGCAGCTCACGGGTGCTAGACGCGACTGTGGTCCGCATCGACGTGGGCGGCGCGTAGAGGCGGCGACATTGGGAGAGCGAGAGAGCGAGAGAGGTGAGCGGCCCATGGGCGATAGAGGAATCGTTAGGTGCAATACAAAGTATGTAGGAGTCGCGACGGGCTGCAGCTGGCTTATGATCAGTCAGCGTCGTGCGTGAGCGTTCGAGATGCTTACCCAGCTAATACAGAGCCACGCGTGTCCTCACGCCATCCGTCCGTGCGCGCCCGTCCTCGCGCTGCTGGCATGCCGATACATAGAGCCCGTCCCGAGTGGTCGTCCGCTGGTCGAGTCGTCGCTGCTGTGTGGGAGGTCGAGGCAGCGGCCAGGGACTTGAACCAGTGTGAAGGAAGGTGGTCAGACGTCAGTCGACCCGCGGAACTGAATTTAGCGTCCGTCCGTGAAGCGCGCAAGATCGCATCGCTACCGGTCGCCTGCGGTCGTACCCGACCAGTCATTGCGTATACTCCACAGACCGCTGGCGAGCCACGTCGACACAGGACCGATGTCATCGCGTGTCGTGCATAGCTGGGCGCCATCGTTTAACTTCCCTGTGACGGCATAAGCCGTCGACGGGCATCTGTATGTCCTACGAGCAGCGAATTACATGGCATAGTGACTTAGAGTAATAGACGGGCAGTGGGTATCGACAACGTACGGTGCATCTGCCAATACCTAATAGAGAACACTGGCGACATTAGAGGCTGTCCGAGGGCAATGGCAAGGACCTGTATCTACAGAATACGGGGTGAACCACACGGTGTGCGCGCAGTCATCACCATGGCAGGGACACAATGTCTCTGCGGGAAACGAGGGTCGCACCTCAATCGGCGTCCGGACAGCCTTCGTCGCAGCCATGCGAGCTGCTCCATACCCCCAGGACAAGCCTCATCGTCTACTGGGACCTACGAGTCAGACATCGCTTTCCGTGTTGAGTACATGGGACCTGTCGCAAACGACGCGTCCGGTCCCTATGAGGTACTTCATAACGGAGAGTGATATTAACAGCCAGAATGACGAATCAAGATGTGAAACATACCATGCTTTTCGGACCTCCTCGATCGACGACTCGCCTTGAGCCGGGATATGTAATCTGCGGGTTCTGCGCAGCCTCGCGTACGGTTCGAGATGGCTGACATCCCGTCATCGCGGCCAGGAGGGTACTGATGGGGTTGATATCTGATGACGACGCCTACACAGTAGACAGCCTCCAAGAATTGCGCGCAATGGACAACGATCAGACCAAATCGCATAAAGACTGAACGGGGACCGCGGCCTGGTTCGACCGCCGTGGGCGCTAGGTCAGCTGTATGCACCGGTCTTGGAGGCGCGGGTGATTCTCCATGACGTAGAGACGCAGTGAGGTTCGCCGCGAGCGCGATGGAGATTAGATGGATCGTGCGAGTGAGCCTGCGGCGACGTGCATGAAAGTGTCTTCGATTAGTACGATTTGCGGGCGGAGCGCGTTAGTCGCACTGGGTGTATGAATCGGTGGGCCGCCGGGGATGGAAAGCATGTAGTCAGGAGAAACGGACGCGGTTGATCGCCCGGAGCCTGTGTTGTGGTACCGGTGGAACGGCTGGATTGGGATAATGCTCGTGCAATACCACGATCGATCGCGCGCAGGGCTCGGCAGACTGAGACGGGATCCACTCCGTCACGGTGTCTCCTGCTCGACACTGGAGCGAATGACGGACGTCCCTGTCGACCCGCCGCCGGTCAGCCGATGCTACTACGCATTTGAGTTGAGTACTCACTCTGTGACACGAAGTCTTGCGGGAAATTGTGATAGTCGACAGGGCAGCGAATGCTTATGGCGATGCCGGGTGGGAGAAGAGCAGTGAGTGAGTCACTTCTGAAGGCGAGGCATGTTTCCGGACAACCTACCTCTGGCATATGTCCGTTTTTGAACTAGCTTCGCTGGCGCGTATACCCGTCGTCTTGTCCCGGCTCACGCTATGATCCGTTGCACGTTAGAGAGGCGCGGCACTCACTCGTAATCACTGCCCGGGCTAGTAAAGGGGAAACGAGGGAAGGCACGCATGCGGCTTTGCCCGCGGTACTCGACAGTCAACAGGAAGGTTACTCCAGCAAAGGACCTGACAATGCTTATTTCAGGTAGTCGAGAGACTCGTAAGTGAGTATGCTCACAGCAAGCCGAATGGGCAGGAGCGCACAGAGATACGGGGTGGCACGCCGGCGGGACTGATGCCATTCAGCGGTCGACATTCCTGGGAGGGCGGATGCGAGGACTGGCCAGGGACGAAGGATAACGTAGCGAGAGCTCGTCAAGTGATATCCATGAGTGGGGCCAGAGGAAGCGTGCGCGGGTATGCGCAGAGTATTGGTGAGTAGCCGGGGAGGAATGCAGCAGAGGCGGGGCTCTTCAGGTGGGTGCTATGGGAGAGGCTACGTGAACGGCGGCTGCCAGCGTAGTACGGCGAGGCGAAGAAAATGACCGAGAGTTCAGGCTGAGGCTCGCTGTCGTCAGTGGATAGTCTCCCGTAGGCAGACCCTAAACACGACCTAGTCAGTGGAGGGAGCGACGGCCTGCGACGGGCCCACGACGCGCCTCGGACGATTGTCGGAGACTGCGGGCCGGAAGCAGCGCCCTCGACGAGCTCAGCCTGTTGGCGCCGGGCGACCTCCTCCGCCGACCTCACAGCAATATCGCAACCTGAGCTCGCTGCCCACGCATCTCCCGGGTCGCACGAAGGAGCACGTCGCCGCCACAATGTACAACACGGGCGCATGACGGGCGGGTCGCTGGGCTCAGCTGACGTCACACTCAACGCCTCGGGCTCGTCCTCGACATCGCATATCGCCTTGGACCCCAAGCCGCCCCCGTCTTCGTGCGCATACACACTGGTGGGATCCCCGATTTGGGCGGTCCGAGTCGAGGAATCGGGTGACTGAGCCCCCACTGCCAGTGAGGCCTCCTGCCGGCGGTACGTCCTGTCTCGTTTGTCACTGCGTTCGTCTACAGTTCGCGTATTCCTGCTTCATTACAGATACCTTTAGTTGTATATTCACTTCACGATCTGTCCTTCAACGTCAACTCATCCGCGAACGCCACCCAGCATCCGCCTCCTCGACTGAAACGGCTGCACGCCCAATAGTCGCGTCACCAAGTGGTACCGCGTCGAAGGTGGCGCCCTTCCGCCAGGCATCCAGGCACCAATGCACAAGTTCCAGAGGAGACGGGAAAGCTGCGAGTCGCCACATGCGAGGCTCGTGAAAGCGCGAGGCGGCGATGACCGAGGAACGAGACTACGGTATGCTTATACTATAGCTTACCTGTCTACGCAGATGCTGGTGCAGCAGTGACCGAGGCAGGTCCGTCAGCCCGGCGCGACGTACGGGCATTGCTATCTCAAGGGTAGCGTAGAAGACTGTGGATATCGTCTAGTGGACGCGGCGGTACACAGATTGTAACGGCCCCGCGAAGTATGTTCGTCACTCACAATATAGTTTTTTCTCACTTCTATCCGCACTCGCTTGTCACAAACTGTTCAACGGAACATGGCGCGTTATATTGATATGCGAGAGTCCAACAGCAAATCCAAGGCAGACGTATGGGAGGGAATCGTACCGAGCACGCAACACGATACAAACAATGGACAGCAACACCCCGCTCGTGCAAACCCCAGGCAATCCAGTCGGCGAACACAAGTGTACCGTAGAATATTCAGTAAGCCATATGAATCAAGACCTCCGAGTCCATAGCCGGCACAAGCATCACGAACAGCCGTAACGAAAGAGGAACATACGAGACATCAGCCCGTCGCGATCCAAGAAGCTGTTCGTGCACCGAAAGATCCGTCTATCACCGTGACGGTTCGTCATCAGTCAGCGCATGCTGTCCACCTGCGGTAAACGTCAGCATTCGGCGGTGGTGGTCTATCCAGTAACGTACGACGTACACCGTGACATCGATACCACCATCCTCCGTTCTCCTCATCAGCCGTTGTTTGCGTTCTGGTTGGCCGACTCGAAATGCGACTCGGGCGGTTGCGTAGGTGTGTCGCCCGGTGCAGCTAGTCCCTCCTCACTCGGACGAGCGTCGCCGCCTTGATGTTCATCTGCGTGCTCGGCCGCGCCTACGAGTCCTCCCTGATGACCTTCGTCCGCGCCGTGCTCAGCTACTCCGCGTGCGGCACCCGAGTCGTCTGCGCACGGTTCGGTGGCATCCAGTGGTTGCGAATGCTCGCTGGTCTGGGCCGCGTCCTGCTCTTGCAGGGATTCGTCGGCCGTCGTCGCGGTCGCCGACGGGGCCCTGCTGACGGCTGGCGGTGCGGTGTCTGTTGCACCGGGGCCGGGCGCCGCGCTCGAGCTAGCGTCCACGGATCGCATCTCAACGTCGGGCTCCTGCGCTGCAGTCCCTCTGAATCTTCCCCAGACATCACGGCCAGAGAGATGATCAGCGACGATTGAACGAGTGGAGCGCAAGGTTCACCGCTTACACGACTTGCATCATAGATCGCTTCAGACTGTCCATTTGCGGCTCCGGTGGGTCCTGCTCGTCCCCAATTTCCGATGTAGACTCTGAGTCAGTCGTCTGTGGAGAGTCGCCGCGTCGATCGCCTTCGCTCTGGGACTCATCTGGAGTGCATTGGAGCCATCTGTCCCTTTGCAAGTGTCAGCATGTCTTGGACATTCTGAGCGTCGAAGATGACTGACCAGCTTTCCAGGTCTATGCTGGCCTGATCTAGGAGCTGGACTTGTGTCCAATGCATGTACCTTAGCAAACGAACTCGGAACCTTGACCGTCCCTGGCGGCGTCCATTCATCGCATTCCAGCAGCCACTGGAGTCGTCGCGCGATGCATTCTGTGGACGTCATGACGTCCCGGAGGATCTGGTCGTACCCAAGAATCCATAGATGTCCTCGGGCTCCACCGCGCGGCCGACGGCGCGCCGGAGGTTGACGCGGATGCCGTTGTCGAGCGCGGCGCCCGTGGCGGCGGCGCAGCCCATGAAGTCGAAGTTATTGAGGAAGCCGAGCGAGCCGAGCGCGAACGGGAGCACGGGCGGGGCGATGCGCTGGAAGAGCCACGACGTGAAGAGCGCGGTGCCGTCGCCACCAAGCTGCAGGGCGACGCCAGCCAGGGCTCACTCTCGATGGGGGACGCGGGGAAGACACGCGCGCACTGCGACGACGAACTGGCGATCGCGGGCAATCCTGCGAGCACGAGATGTTGGCTGTCGAGCCGGTTTGGATGTGTGAGCGGCAGCATGCTGGTAATAGGAAAGGATTTGCCACTGATGAGCAGTCAGGAGTGCAGCTCGATGATGGGTGCATCGCCAGCGAGCAGTGTGGTTCACTAGCACTCTGGGAGAATTTAAGCTATGAAGTAGAACCCGGCGCCAACCCGACGCCCCGTCACTCGAGTGCCCAACTCAGCTCGTCATCCTTCTGATCACCCTCGTCATCCACGTCCTTCTCGTGCTGCTCACCGAGTATCTTCTGCTCGAGGCAGTAATAGCCCAGTAGTTTCTTGAGCTGCGTCGAGAACGTATTCGTACTCGGTGAGCTATCCTCCGATCGCCGCGCATTGGGGTTCTCAAACAGACCCGAGGGGGCAGAGGAGTCGGTGGTTGCTGATGAGAGAGTGAAGTTCGATGAGTGGCGAAGTCCACGTAGGAAGCGGAGGAGGTAGATGAAGCGGAGACGTCTCCAGAACACTTGGGTGTCGGCGTGGAGCGGTCTGCATGTGGGCGATTGGCGGCGTTGGGTAATGCTTGTGGTCGGGTGAGGACATAGAACAACAAAGTCGACGAACGGGTCGTCCTTGCGAGGAGAGTTGTCTAAGTGGATCGAGTGCCGCTCCGGACTGGGGAGCAGCCTGGCGCGGCCCATGTGGCACGGGCCCCGCGGAGCATACGAGCTCGGCGGAACGTCCGGCGTGGTTTCTGGCTCGGCGGCGATAATGACTCGTCGAGGGCTGGCGGCATTGGGGTTGTAGAGTTTGCTTGGACTGCCGGCGGATGGGCCTGCCTGGTGTCGGATGAAGGACGGGGAGAGGAGGTAGCGGTGATCTTGAGGCGGCGCGAAAAAGTCGTCAGCATCGGACTCCATCGAGGATGGCGAGGTCTGATAGGCGGTGATAGTGGAGGAGCATGCAGCCGACGAGAGGAGAGGGCGCGCAGAGCCTGAGGGAGCGGGCGCGTTCGGCCAGCTCGTTTTGTTACACTGCGAGCGTAGTCGCGGCGGGTCAGAACTACGGAGCTACGTACGCGGCAGAGTCCCAGGGCGTCGAGTGGAAGTCGCCAGATTCAAAGGGAGCGCCTCCTGGGTCAGGAGCGCAAGCGAGAGTGGGAGAGGGAGGCCGGAGATGGTTAACGTTGAGCGATCCGGCGGAGGCACTGTTCTCCGGTGCTCTGTGGGAACCTGCGACAGGGCTGGTATATGAGTAAGCAGACAACTTATGCTCGTTCAAGTTATCTGCCTGACGCACCTAAAGCGTCGCGGGCATTCGTTCTTCTTCCGACATGCGTGGAGGAGTCGCGCTACTTCGCAGCCTGCTCGACATGTCGGCGGGCCTTCAGCGTCAAGTGGTTATGCTGGCCCGAGGGAGATGGAGGCGGACGGCGGATGCGACGTGCCAGACCACGGGATGTGGACGTGTTCGAGAGCCCAAATCGGAGCCCGCGGTTGCGTCCAATGCTCAAGTCGGAGGAGGAGGAGGAGGGTATTCCATTCGGGGAACTTCAGCTTCAGTGATCGCGCGGTACGCAGGTCTTGCCGCATTTGGGAATCACCCTACCCAACCTGCATGTGGCTCGCAGCGCATTGGGCCCTGCAACTGGGGGGTCAAATTCTAAGCACAGATAAGTACTTAGGTCGAACGGTGTACATACCATCAGTGTCCATGCAAATTTGCAGCCGGCACACGGTGCAAGTAAATATACTAGGTCAATATACTGGCAGGACGGGCGTCTGCCTGGCGCAGACGCCGGTTCTGCACCACACGAGCGCTATAAGCCCTTAGAATGTGCCTGCGCGCAGCGCAGTCTCACCTGCTCTCAGTACTAGTGCCATATCGTTCAGCGCAGCCGCCGCGCACAAACGGCGGCAGCTTAAAATTCAGAGAGGAACACCTCTCCCCTCGTGTGCTTTTTGCACCCTGCACATCTGCGCGACGAGACAAGCGTACTGAGGCTCGTTTCGCATTTTGCTGTCTAGGCGGCGTGATCACTTGTCATTTGCATACGCCGCCTTCGCGAGTCGCACAAGCCTCTTCGCCCACTACGACTCATCGACCGCCTGCATCGAGGGCGAATTGTGAAGTTTCGCCGCAGCGTACACATTCTCTCCGACAGCGTACATACGGGTGCATAGTGTAAGACATAAGCTCCCGTTCGTCTCTCTCGTTGGCCACCGTTTTCTCCATGCCCTGCGTAGATCACCGCATCCGCCCAGCCACCGCTCAGTCCCTCGCGACCTGCACGCACACCTTCCCGACATGCTGCTGGTTCTCAAGATACTCGTACTCCGTGCGCGTCCCCTCGAAGGGGAACACCTTGTCCACGACGGGCTTGAAGCCCTCGCGTCGAAGAGCCATACGAGCGCCTCGAACCTATACAACGAACGCGTGAGCTGCGAGGCGCGGAGGGGGAGACGGAAAGTGGGACGTACTGCGTGCGCGAGCCAACGAGGATGTCGCGGAGGAGTGCTCCTTCGAGGGATATATTGGGCAGGTTAGACATCTCGCGAGCCTGGCGGGACAAGGCCCACTGAGCGGGGATGTGTAGACTTTGAATGGAATACTCGTGAAAATGCGTCCTTCCCTGCGTGACGAGCAGTAGACTGAGCTTGAGCGCGATTTCGGGGCGAGGTACTACACAACATGACATACCAGATGTTAACCACCGCGTTCACACTTCACCCATCGTGCTGGGTATGTCAGGTCGAAGGCTAGTCTCTCGATCAACGACCGCCGTCCATTTGACTCGGTAATCCCTATAGCGAGGCCACGAACTTAAAAGAGCTGCTAGGAAATGCATCAGCGGGTTGTGCACAGTACACGTCCTCATGGACGTACGAGACTGGATGATTACAATCGCGAGGCCACATGCCGGGATTACCCACAGCTGAAGCGCGCTACGCAGCTTTAACAGGCTCTGGGGCAGCTCTAGCCATACACCCGATAAGCGGAGAACCTGGCAGCGCTGGGTGCACGAACACGGTAAGCTGGACCTGACTAGCCAGGACGTGATCCGGCCACTCGAGGATCCGATCAAGGAGACTGGTCACTTGCGGTCAGTCAATTTATGTCACCCCAAATGACGGACGTCCACTGATCCACCTATCGTAGTATCCTTCGCGGTAGCCTCGCGCCCGGAAGGCCTAGGTTTCACAGGCAAGGCGCATGCCTTCGGCAGCGAGGATGACTTCGTCCGCGCCGTCGAGAGGGGATCGATTAAGAAGGGCGAGAAGACGGGCGTCGTGCTGAGATACCTCGGGCCGAAGGTGGAGGATGATAAGCACAGTTCAGTACGGATGACGGCGAAGCGGTCTTGGGAAGCCTTCGACAGCCGTGACGCGTACTGCGTGTCGACCATCGTAGCAAAGGAGAATTCGATCTTGGACAATGGGTCGACTTTAGAAGTCCACCGGTGCTGGTTCAGCTAACGAGATGGAACATGAGGGTAGCGACGACGACCACTGTCAAGCTCCGTTTTCGCCATTGTCTGGGAAGCTTGACAGTTGGGCTGCCGTAGGGGTCTTCTGGGTCATTGACTCATGCTGCAGGGGCTGACGGTGGTCGACTTCTACTGGAGGCTGGATGGCCCTGAGATCACTATTGCTGACAGCGAGCGAGAAGAACGTACCTGGGCTCCTATACGACGCGCGTACCGCGCACCCGCAAAGATCACCGACAAGTTCCATCGAATATATCCCCTATCCCGCTGCGCGCGCAATGAGGACAACGTTGTGCAGAGCATATCACATGAACCGGAGAGATCAGGGGACGTGGTCGAGGAAGGACCCCCTTGGTCGTCGACGAGCAGGGAGGCGTTGTCGTCGGAGGCCAGACAGGGAACAAGAACCGAGATCCCTGTCCTCGCTGACGAGACGTGAGGAACAACGGGTCTCCAACTAGAAAACAAGTACTGGTATGTGTTTGTTTCAACGAACGTTGAGACCAGCATACATAATGACGGCTCCGAGACGGGCACTGGTAGTGAGACATTGCGGAGCGGGAAGGCCTACGGATGTGTTTGGGGGAAGGTGCCAAGTCTTTCACCTTGGTGTCGAATGCACTCGTGCTTGGTCGAGCCGTTTCGCGTGCTGTGTTGTACGAGCCATTGCTACGTGAAAGAATCCCCGGTACATACTTGCTCTTCGCGTCCCGAACATCAAGGAGGTGGCCGTGGAAGGGGTGGCGCCTCTTGAAATCTTTGCGTCCGTCGGTGTATACTGGATTACTGCGAGTGAGCGAGAATGGGCCGACCACGAGTCAAACCAGTCTCGAAGTCGGTCGTAAAAGTGAAAGTGACATACGACGGAGAACCGTCCGCCGCAGTCTCCGGACGCGTCCATGAAACTAGACACACGTGTTCCATGTGTCGCGACGGGACACCCCCTCTTCCCTCCTATGCGAGCGACGCCCAGGGAAAAACATTCGTCAGTACAGATCAACGTCACGAAAGCAGGTACCACGCACCGCGCTCGGGGACCGTCTGTTCCTTCCGCTCTCGTATTCCCGTCTACCGCCTCTCCACGCCGTCCTCTGACTCCATATTCCTACTTGCATCCTTCAACGTCCGCATGCATGGCCGGCGAAAGTATGAGACGTTCTTGAAAACGGACCAGTCGATTCCCCTTGGTCTTGGCCTTACTGGACGTGGACGACGTGGACGGGTCAGGAGAGGGCCAGGTAGGGGGTGGTGATGTCTATCAAGTCAAGGGCACGGGGATATGGCGCGTGCAGTACGTACATGGGAGGTGCTTGAAGGAATACTGAGTGTCGAGAGTAGGCGGGAATGAGGAGACGTACCGCAGGTCGAAGACTTCGCTCGAAGTTGTGATGGTAGTCAAATCCGCGCTACTCGTCCATAACAAACGCCTCATACTATTGCCGCCACCGATGATTAGCTCATGCAATTTCGACGTGAAGTCTGCATACAGACGTACCTTGCTAAGTACCAGATGACATGGTAGCTCCGGGTTCGACATGCCTGGCTATTGTGCGCAAGGAATGTGCTCGAGGTCGCTGTCGCCGTTGTAGCTGTCTCTCCTGAAAACGGAGCCTATACGAAGCAGATACGGAGGAGCACGAGCCAGCCGGAGAACAAGGCGAGGCAGTGGTAGGAACTTGAAACGCCCGAAGTTGCCAGCGAGGGATGAAGACGATGTAAGTCAATTGGGCGAGGACCAATCACAGAAAGCTTGACAAGCGGTTGTGGCAAGTAGAGGAGGTGGGCCGGGTTTGTGAGCGGAGTACTGAGTGCTGAGTTCCTAATCCATACACGCAACAGGGCGATAGCACCGGCCGAGGGCTTGACGTTGCGGTCGAGTCGCAGCCAAGTTGCAATGTTCACACTCAAAGGTGACTCACGTCATTGCGCCGCGCGGACCTCGACCTTCTGCGTTTCGGGGTCGAGTAGATCTCCGTCGACGGCATATGCCGTCATGCGATGTTATCGGTCCTGGGCACAGCAAGCGTACGACACGACTTGGGCAACGTACAATACGTCGCGCGTCCTCGTACGTGCAGTCAGACACGTACTCTCGAGAGCCGTCGAACAGGGCATACGAGAGGGCCAGGGACAGCGAGAAGAGTGTGCAGGGATCAATTTCGGGCACTTGGGGTATGTCGCAGAGAAAGCCGCGGCGCCTGTCGTCCCACGAGCAGCGTTACTTTGGACGACTTGGGATGGGTACAGCCAGGGTCTAGGTACCGAAAGAAAGTCCTGATCCTAGGATTCTCCACGTCTCACTCTGGAGTCGCAACCGTACTCACCCAATGACACCCCAATCCCCACCGCGTATAGCCATGTCTCTGTGGACACGGCGGCATCGAAGGCCCTGTCCTACATGGCTGTTGTATCGTCAACGAAAAGGGAATAGCCGGATGCCCGCAAGCCTGACCTTCTCTCCACGTCCTATTCATATGATACAACGCAAACGCCTTCTGGAACATCGCCGCCAGGTTCCTCGCCTCCCCCTCAAATGCCGCCTCGTCCGTCCACGCCAAGCGGAGGCTCAACAGCTCGCGCGGCACGCCCTCGATGTGGGTCGGGACCTGGAGGCCGAACATCCCGGACGTCCCGTACGCCTCCTTGGCGAGCTCGCCCGAGCGCACCACGTCGACGACCATGCATGTGTACTTCAGCGGGCAGCGCTGACCCGTCCCGTACTTGCCCCCCGTCGAGCCCGCGTTGATTAGCCAGCAGTCGATGTTGTTCTTCGGCATGCGCTCCGCGAGCATCTCGACGTAGCGCCCGGGGTGAGGACGATGAACGGCGCGAAGTAGCACGTCAGGGTGGGCTCGAGGACGTCATCCTCCGTACTAGGGGGTTTCCTAAGCCAATATCAGTGATGTTTTCTCCGTCATGAAGCCTAAGGAGACTCACGAGATGTATCTCGCGAGGAAGTGGTAGCTCGCCTGCTCAGGCGAGAGTTTGCTCACGGGCGGCAGGCACCGAGCGCATCGCAGATGAGCATGACGATGTTGCTCGGCTGGCGGTTGACCATGCACGGGGCGCGTTCGCGATGAACACGATCGGGTACGCGGAGCGCGTGTTCTCCGTGATGCTGCTGTCGTCGCAGTGGGGCACGCACGAGATCGGGTTGTACACGACTTTCCGAGGATGCTCCCGGAACGGACCGTGTCGTAGATCTCGGGCTCCTTCTCTGCGGAGAGGTTGACGCACTTCGCGTAGCACCCGCCCTCGATATTGAACACACCGTCGTCCGACCAGACGCGCTCGTCATCGCCAATCAGCTTCCGGCGCGGGTCGGCGGAGAGCGTCTGGTCTTGCCCGTGCCCGGCAACCCAAAGAAGATGGTCACATCGTTGTTCTCGATGCCGACGTTGGTAGACGAATGCAGCGAGAGCTGGCCGAGCTTGACCGGTCAGTGGAGGTAGTGCTACACAAGAGCGTTAGTCACAGTCAACGGGACGGGAAGAAGACGCACAGTATGACAGAGAAGACACTCCTCCTCATCTCACCGCCGAGGATGATCCTCTCCATATGCTTGAAATCGATCTCGACAGACGTGGTGCTGCTCACGCCCTTCGTGAAACGATTCGCCGGGAGCTGGCCCGCGATGTAGTCCAGCTCGCCGGAATCCTTCAGCTCTTCCTCCGTAGGGCGGATGAGCATGTTGTTCTGCTAGGCGTGACGAGACACAAGACCAACTTGCCATGAACAGAGCGTGATAAGCCCGCGAGCAGATGACGAAGACTGGATGCGGTACTTCAGATCCCACTGTGTGAGAGGGAACAACGGATCAGCTGCACTAATTCGCACTTGGCGACGACGCCGCTCGCTGTATTGATCGCTTGGTCGAGCGAGCCCAGGGTGCCGTTTCGGTGCGAGCGGCGGCCGGCCAACCTAGGCGTGGACGTCGTGGCGTCCTGCACCTCGATGCTTGTCAAGGAGGCGGACGCCTTTTGGGCAGCATACGATTTGACGAAGAACCTGCAGACCATAAGGTGATAGCGCGTGTCCCGGTACGCGGCGGGCCTCGCTGCGTGCGACAGGCTATAGCTCAGAGCGCAGATGTGATAGCTCTTCAGCCTCGGTGCACTCACGGGCAAAGACCGCTCAGTGCTCACCGTACTGCCCAGCGCGGGTCGGTCCCCGCTACGCGTCGGAGCGTCGGTAACCGAGTGATAGCAGCCGCCTCGTCCACCTGCCAGCAGGACCCGATCGCGGTGCGTGTGGATGAGTGTTCAAGACGTCCGTTGTCCGCGTTTCTGCCGTTCGTGAGCGCGCAGTGGACAAGGAGACGATCTACGTTCGCACCTTCCTCTGCTCGGTACTGCCGTCTTCCTCTTGCATCGCATCCTCGTCTTCCGCGCAGCGCGCACCCAGCCTTCCGCTCTGGCTACATCCTTTCGCTGTTCGATCCTCTGAGCTTTCGTGCCGACTTCTCGACCGGGATTGCTCGGTGCATGTCGCGGTACGGCGAGTTGATCCCTGCGCATGCACTCTTCAGCGAAGGCTAGCGAGGTGCGTCCGTGCATGGACTGACGCGCATGCTGCCCAACGTAGCCGGGTCTTGTACATGTTCTTGCCTCCGCGTCTCGCGTCGCGTCGTCCTGCCCGAGTTCACGTCGCCTTCTGAGCCTGACTTGACCATGCTGATGTAGCTCGTTCATGTACTGCTGTATGTGCAGCGCCGGTGATTGCATGGACTGCGGTACGTGTTCTGCATTCTCCGCTTCGTGCGTGCGACTGCAGTCCCGGAGTGTCCTCCCGAGAAAACCTTGCAGGAGAGCGTTGCGCCGGTAGCGCGGGGCGTACTCGGGAGAGGACCAGGCGGCGGTGTATGCGTGTCCCGTGGGTTGCGGTCTTCGCTGGCGACGGGTGCTCCAATTGACCCGCATCGACGTGGGCAGCGCGTAGAGGTGGCGAGATTGGGAGAGCGAGAGGGGAGAGCGAAAGGGGAGAGTGACCCAAGGGCGATTATCGACAGGGGTCGATAGGTGCAATACAAAGTGGGAGTCGCGACGGGCTGCAGCTAACTTACGGATCAGTCGGCGTTGTGCTTGTGCTTGAGCATTCAATATGCTTACCCAGCGAATACGGCGCCACGCGTATTTTCCCGCCATCTGTCCGTGCGCGTCCGTCCTCGCGTTGCTGGCCTGCCAATACGGGGAGCCCGGCCCAGTTGTCGTCCGCTGGCGGAGTCGACGCTGCTGCGTGGGAGGCCGACGCAGCGTCCAGGGACTTGCATCATGAAGGGAAGGAGGTGGTCGGTCATGCGGTCCAGCCGCGGAACTATTAGATTTAGCATCCGCAAAGCGCCCAAGAACGTATCTTTACCGGTCGTTTGAGTCGGCGGTTGTACCCTGCGCGGGCTTCTCGAGGACGGGAGTGTCGCCGGCGGTGTGCAGCGGTCGCGGCGAGGACGTGCGAGGTGAGTGTTCTCGCGGTGTTCTCTCTAGGGCTGACGTGGTCTGTGTCAGTGGGTCGGATGTGTGAGGCAGCGGGGAACGGCTTGGGCAGGGCGGAATTGAGGGCTTCGATGCAGGATGACGGCGGGCGTAGGTGTGACTGGGGCTGTGATGAGGAGGGCGGAGGCGCGGTTCGGACGGACGACGACGCGCCGCGCAGTGGGCACATTGCGGAGATGTGTGCGTGACTGCTCGTGAAGTGGTGCGGTGGTCCGCGCTGCGTCGACGGCTGCCAGTGGGGCGTCGAGGACGAGGCAGCGACGCTGCCTCGGATGCTGCCCGCGTAGGTACCGAAACCGTGTACGTAGCGTCGCGAGCAATGAATATATTCTGCTATCTACTCGTATGTATCATGGTATGTGAGCGAAATGCGAGGGAGAGAACCCCGTCGCACGCAACATTTCGCGAAGAGGCTCGGCCGGACGAGTGGGCTCACGAGTCGGAGATGACAACGGCCAGACGTGGTCCGTCGCGTTCGCGCCGCTCTCCGACGAATCCTGGCCGCCAATTGCTCTACTCGGCGGGGTCCGTCCTGTAAACGTCAGTGAGCACTTCGGGCTGGATGTATCTAGCAACAGCCCGTCCGCCGCGCAGCAAACCACACTCGACGGGAATGCGCACCTGTGCATCGCGACCCATTCCACGCATACCCTGCGTGAAGTTACGTGCCCGGAGCCGTGTCGCGCACGAGCAGGCGCGGTGAACACGGCGGATGTGGTCATTCTCGAGTCGGCCGCGCACCTCCAGTCACCACCATTACCCGCTAATCATCCGCCAACTAAACACGCCGCGTGCGCACCTGACTGCGTCCCGAGCTCGTCCGTCCATTGAGCGGGGGTGAGGCTCCGCTGTCGGAAGGCCGTTGAATCAACCCGTACTACGTCCTGAGATCGACTGAATGGTTAGCGTACCTGCGTGCGGCGATTCGAGTTGTATATCATGGCCTGGATGTATGAACCTCGCGGGTGGATGGGGATGGCGCACTCGTCCGTTTCGTGCTGACAGCGCACTGTGGCATGGACTGACTTTAGAGGCGTCGATACATGTTCGATGTTGACCAATGCGTCGGTAGGTGAGATACACGATGGCGCATCGGTCGGGTTCGTGAACGTGGAGCAGTCGGCTCACCGTGTAGCATACGGAACAGCTGGGGAGGCAAGGATTCAACTTGAAGTTCCCAGCCAAGGGCTTGAGATGTACACATCGCAGGTCGTCTTCAACTTGATTGTTTGCACGCCCGCCGGCGAGCCCAGGCAGACCGCCTTCGGCGGCGGCGGATAATGGGCCAGTGTACATCGATCCGTGGTCTCGCCGTGGCCTGCAAGTGAGTGACCAGCCGTCGGGTTGATCAGTTGCGCAGAGATGAGACAGGCAAATGAACCTCACCGTATTCTTCGGGTACATTGCGTTCAAGTACCCGACCTCTGAATCGTCCCGAGACTGTGACTGGCATCCGTCCGTGCAAAAACTTCCCGGCGTCCATACATAGAATTCGCGAGCAGGACAGTATTCGCGGTGTAGTCCTCAGGGCGACTCGGCTCGGAGAGCTCACTGGCGCGAGGGATGACACTGGTCACGGGCCAAGAACCTAGCTGCGAGCTCGACAACTCGGTCGAGACGTGGACCTCCTTCACGCTGCAGATAGGTGTCGCGGAGAACAATGAGAGCATGACGCACATAACGGCTGTGTAGAGAGTGAAACAACTTACGGTCAGTACACTCAGAGTCCGACTCGGAGTCCGCATGGCAGGTCTGGACAGAGATTCGTTCGAGTTCACCTGTTCTCGGGATGTCACGGCGGTATCCTGTTGCAGACGAGGAAGTCGTCCACAGACCCTGCGCCTCCAAGGCTCCGTTGATGGCATCCGAGTCGGGCTGTATTAGCAGGCCTCATAGAGAAAGCGTGCATTGGCACGAATCAATGTTCCGCTATTGGCACCCTTCGTGAGCGGGCCTGCCGTCGATTGTACACAGCACAGACGGCGAACTGGAACTGGTCCATGCGGGTTGTACGGATCATCCGCCTGTCGTGCTCGCTACGCAGACATCGACTCAACTGGCCATGTCGATCTAAACTTCTGCATATCCATTCACATACAGCTAGTGACTCCCACCCGTGTCTCGACTCACGACTGCTACGCAGCCACCCCATCCCGTCTTCTAACTGCTCGACATAGAATGTCATTCTGAGACGTTGCTCTGCAGCATACTTCGTCTCAGAACGCATGCCAGCCCGACACGACCACGGCATCATGTGCGGAGATCCTCGACTCACACTGGCATCAGCTTTAGCCACACGAAGACGAGGACGGAGCCATTCGTCTGCAGGAGACGCAGGAGATATGGACCCGCAGTCGAGGTCCCAGGAGCTTGTTTCACAGTGAGTCGCCGACCGTCTTGTTTCATTTTCTGTACATTCTCGGAGCGACATCTGCGCTAGGATTGGCATTACCTGCGCTGTCCACGATACAAAGCACATTGCCGTGCGTAAATGAGCATGCTAAGCCCACGACTCTTCCCTGAGTACGACGCAAATCCGAAGTCAGATCGATACAAGCAATAGCTCCCGCCGTACTCTCGAGCTAGTCGCTGGTACGGAGGGCACTCTGCACGACCTTCGGCGACCTGCAAGGCTCAGCCACTCGATCGCGACCCGCCTGTAAGGCCCGGTGTGCCTTTCAGAGTCGTATTGACGTCGAGCGGACATCCCTCCTCCGCCACGCCGTACTGATCAGTGATACAATACGCCGCAGATTAGCGTTTACACCTTCTCGCACCGTAATGTCGTGCAAGAGCAGAGGTAACAAGAGGAGAATGGGAGCAGAAAGAGCAGCCGGGAGAGAGTGGGAATGGAAGGGAAGGAGTCGAACGGCAGCCTCAGATCCCACTTACAGTAGAGTCCCGGTGATGCCGCGACCTTGGCTGGTAGCGGGATCATTCGCAAGCATCCGCGGGGGTGGTATTGGCGTGCGAGAAGCCGAGTTTGAGGAGCTTGTCGTCCGTGGCACGTACGCAGGAAGCAAGCTCTGCGCTGAGGCGAGAGCCGTGTCGAGACACAGGTTGCGGTTGGGTTGCGGACAGAAGCAGCTGGCATACGCCGGCGGTGGCGCGAGGAGGACGGGTGGCGGGACGCAGGCGCCAAATCTTGCCCACTTGTACATATCTTCTCCAGAGACCGCGCGGCGAGCTGCCTCCTGAACAAGGCTAGACTCGGATGGTCGACGCTCGATCGACGCTGAAAACTGCAGCCTAGGTCGAGGCCCGAATCTCGCTGATGGTCCCCAATGCTCGTCGAGGGCGCTGCTTCCGGCCCGCAGTCTCCGGCTATCGTCCGAGGCGCGTCTTGGGCGTGTCCCTCGTCCTCGCTCCCTTGAGACGTTTGTGTCCCCGCCATTGTGATGTCTGCGCACTTAGAACGGATAGATGCCCGTCGGTGGCCTGTAGAGGAGCAATTAATGGCTGGTCGGGTGCAACCACGGACGTCCGGTAGCGATGCGATCTAGGATGCGTTTCGAGGAGAGACGTCGAAGTCCATGCGGTCCTGCCGACCACGGGCACGACTGTGGCGAGGCGGAGGGTCCAAGTTCATCGAAATGCGAGACAAATGGTTGCCACGTTGTACGTCGGCCAAGTCGCGCTCCTGCGCCCTCGGAGGTGTTTGCTCTCTGCGCAAAAGCCCAGACCGCTCCTCGCTTAGGTAGTCCCAACGAGCAGGTTGGGACAACGACCGTGTGCGACGCCGCTCTGGCAACGGACGTGGAGATGGCGCTGCGTACGAGTCTGCGTACGCAGCTTGCACTGGCGAGTGGGCTGTCCGACCGTCTCGTCTGCCGCTCAGCTCCGTGCCACCAGCACCACCAGGAGTCGTAGCAGGACGATAATGTCGATCTTCGTACGAGATCGTGCGCAGCCCGTTTCGATTCCTTGTGACGCATCCGCCGCTCCGGCAAAATAACGCGTCGGGAAGGTGATACACCTTCCCTTCCGCGCGACACGCCTCGCTCCTTGTCCTTTGCTGGGGACGACTTGCCGCTCACCGGTTGAGTCCAAGTGGACTCGTGCGTTTTGGTGTTATAATATTGTTCACCCCCACCGCTCCTAGCTTGTCGAAGTTCCCAGTCCGAAGGAAGCGCATCGTGGTTGCTGCCGGAGACGGGCATCCCGAGGTCATTCGTCCGCGGCTCGCGCTGTATCATGGAGCTAGCCAGAGTGCTCGCCTGAGCAGGAGACGGATGCACAGGTGCCACGGATAAGGCAGGTTCGGGGGAAGTGCATGAGTGAGCTTGCCGGCAGACTGAGAACGTCGCAGGTGGGGCAAATCCGGATTGCGAGGTGGCGCCCCAACTGCTTCGAGCCATACGATTCTCGCTTGCCATGAGACGTCGAATAAGAATTGGAGGCTGAGCAGCGACCTCCTGCTCCGTAGCTTGGTACGGATAGCAGTCCTGCATGTCGTCCTCGTCGCCACCAAGCGAGACTGCATCTTCCACGTCTTCTGGGCCGTGCTGGGCAGTCTGTTTGTCGTCCTCGTGTCCCCAGTCGAGCACCTCCGCATCGTCCTCGATCATGGTAGAACCTGGAGGGACGTCGGACTGGCGAAATCTTCAGCCACCAGCCCCCGAGCTGATTCGTGAGCTGGGAGTCATTGGGGCTGACGCAGTACACGTACCTGAACTGTGCGTCCTCCGGCGCCACGAACAGCGCATCTTACGCGGACCAGAACTCGCCCGACATACACGCTAAGCCGCTGGTTTGTACCGCCGTGCCGATGTGGCAACTCCTCATCGTGGCCCTTCATGATGATGTCGCCGCGCGCACCTCGAACTTCTTCCGAGCAAGCCGGATGTTCATCCTCAGCGCCGCAGTCTGCAAGCATCCATGAACGTCGCACTCCATCATGCATTCACCGAGACCCACGCACCTATTGTCGAGTCATGCGCCACGATGAGCACGTACATGCTCTTCGTGAGCTCGTCGAGCACCACCGTGAACTCGTCCAGCTCCATCTCGAGTGAGTGGAACTCCTCATGCACGCGCGAGCATGCGTACTTGAGCAAACACCTTGATCAGCTCGGACTCCCGCGCGAGGAGTGAGCTCTGCGAGGTTGGCGTGAGCAGGCCGTTCGTTGTGGCGCGCTCGAGGATGGGGAGGAGAGCACGGGGGAGCTAACGAGCAGCGCGGAGGGAGGGAGGAGGTCCCGATGACGAGGAAGGTGGTACGCTCAAAGAGGACCACATCGGTTGCGCTGCAGGCGCGCGCGAGGGTGGTGTCGTCGTATACGCTCGTCCCGAACACGGTCATAAGCACGTCCCCGCTTGCCTGGTGAAGCTCAAGTGTCTGCCTCTCGAGGGTCTGCGCACGCGAGCCGCGGGCGAGGTCCAGCTTGTGCACAAGGATGAAGACGGCGGCATCGGGGCTGCACTTCTGGAGCGCGGCGAGGCAGCCACGGTAGTACTGGAGGTCCTTGGGCATGTTGCGCCACTCGACCTCAAAGACGTAGATCATGATGCCGACGTGCTGGGAGATGGTGGACGCCTGCAGCGCGAGGTAGGTGTCCATGAAGGCACCCTGGCCGCTGCAGTCCCAGTGCACGCTGTGGCGCGCTGAACTTAGCGCCGCACAGTTGTACAACCTCGAGTGGTGAGGCAGAGGCGGCGGAGCGACTACTGGGTGCGCGGGGAGTCCGCGCATCCCAGCCTTCGTCCGGGCAGCTACTTGTGTGGACAGTTCCGGTCGAGGGCGCGTAGGACGAGGATAGGGGTGCGTAGCTCGAGGATTCACGTGCAGAGCGCAGATGCGAAGGAGCAGATACAGGTGGCGGATGTGGAGGCGCGCCGAGTGAGGAAGGATGCGCGGAACACGGGCGTGGAGGAGAGGGCGGTTGAGGGCGAGTGGCTTCGGTACTCACTGGAGTCGTGCCGATTCTCCTCCCGCTTGACGCCGCGCGGCCGCTCGACCTCGAACTCCGAGGCGGTGGAGGCGTGCGGGCAGGAGTATGGATCGTGCGGGATAGTCTTCGGTTCGCTAGGGTTTCCACACCCTGTGCAGCAGCGCTCTGCTTGCGTGGACTGACCACCTCGTGTGGAGGCGTCAGACTGGTGGCAGAACTCAGCGCAAGACTGGAGGCGCCAGTACTCGAGGACGCAACATTGGTCGCGGACCGACCCCGGGGAAGAGTCGAATGGCGCCGCAGAGAGGCAGGGCTTGTGGAAGACAGAAGCCCGAGCGACAGTGGCCCGAAGATCAGCGAGTGCGGGGTCGCGGGATGTTCATGGAGAACACGCACGGCGCCGACTGTGACAACTGTCTTGTAATATGCCTGCTGGGGCACTAGGAGCGGACGCGGCGAGGCGGAGAAGTCCAACGAAGACGTACCTGTGGTGGACGAGCCTTTGTGCTCGTTTCCTTTGCTTGACCTATGCCCTTCCCTCTCCTCTCCCTTCCTCTCCTCCTCCTTCGCCTCCCTTTGCGCTCCCGGCTCCGCGTTCTCATGGTTCTGTGGCTTGGCGCTGGACTTCACGCGCCTCGTGCGAGAGTCGAGTGAAGGGCTCCCGGTGGAGCTTCTGGACCAGGCGAAGAAGGAGGAGCGGTCTTGTTCACGTGCAGGGTCGTCGGATGGTCCTATGATAGTGCAGTCGGGCGGTCGGTGTAGCTGCCTGAATCGCGGTGAGAGACGAGGTGGTGGCGGTCGAGAGCACTGAGCAGCGCTCGGAGCGCCCACCGTCGACGCGGGCTCGTGACGCATAACACCCTCGGTGTCGTAGCGCATCGTCGGCGCTGCTGAGTGTGTCGTTCGGCGCGAGAACAATATATTGAGCGAGGGTTATACACTGGTGGGCACCAAAAACATTTTTAGACAGTGGCAGCGCAAAACTTTTAGATGGAGCGAGTGGCGAAACTTTTATTTAGATGGTGCGAGTCGCGAAACATTTAGATTGAGCGGGTCGCGAAACATTTTTATGGAGCGAGATGCAAGGATGTTATGATCAACACCCCGGGCGCCCTGCTCCTCTCCTGGCCAACAGCCCCATTTGGTACCCGTCAAATATGTGGCCCATCGCTGCACGAACTTCCTCTGGTCGCCTTTCGCCTCTTCGCCTTCTGCGCTCACCGCCCACCGGCGATACTTCCTCCCGACGTCCCGCCCGCCATGTCGACCGAGGATACAAAGAGCGAGAAGAGGTCCGCCGCGACCGCCATGGCCGTCCCGGTCGACTCTCACACTACTGACCACCACCACCCCGGCCTCTCCGAGCTCCGCCATGCGGGGGGTATATCGCAGAGAAAGCCGCCGCGCCTGTCGTCCCGCGAGCAGCGTTACTTCGGACGTCTTGGAATGGGTACAGACAGGGTCCAGGTACCGAAAGGAAGTCCTGATCCTAGGATTCTCCACGTCTGGAGTCGCGGCCGTACTCACCCAATGACACCCATCCCCACCACGTCAAGCCATGTCTCTGTGGACGCGACGGCGTCGAAGGCCCTGTCCTACGCTGGCCGTGGTATCGTCGACGAAAAGGGAATGTCCGGATGCCCGCAAGTCTGACCTTCTCCACGTCCTATGGATACAGCGCAAACGCCTTCTGGAACATCACCGCCAGCTTCCTCACCTCCCTCTCAAACGCCGCCTTGTCCGTCCACGCCAAGCAGAGGCTCGACAGCTCGCGCGGCACGCCCTCGATGTGGGTCAGGACCTGGAGACCGAACGTCCCGACACGGAACGTCTCGTACTCCGCCTTGGCAAGCTCGCCCGAGTGCACCACCATGCGCGTGTAATTGAGCGGGCAGCGCTTACCCGTCCCGTACTGGTCGCCCGTCCAGCCCGCATTGATCAGCCAGCAGTCGACGTCGTTCTTCGACATACGCTCCGCGAGCATCTCGGCGTGGCCTCCGGGGTGCAGGACGATGAACGGCGCGAAGTAGCACGTCTAAAACGTCGGGATGGGCTCAAGGATGCCGTCCTCCGTATCAGGGGGTTTCCTGGCCAATATCAGTGATGTCTTTCTCCATCATAGAGTCTAAGGAGACTCACGAAGTGTAGCCCGCGAGGAAGTGGTAGCTCGCCTGCTCAGGCAGGAGTTCGCTCACGGGCGGCAGGGCACCGAACGCATGGTAGGTGAGCATGATGATGTTGCTCTGCTGGCGGTTGACCACGCACGGGATCTGCGCGTTCGGGATGAACTCAATCGGGTACGCGCAGCGCGTGCTCTCCGTGATGCTGACGTCTACGTAGTGGGGCACGCGCAAGATCGGGTTGTACGCGACATTCTCGAGGATGCTCCCGAAGCGGACCGCGTTGGAGATCTCGGTCTCCTTCTCTGCGGAGAGGTCGACGCACTTCGCGTAGCACCCGCCCTCGAAGTTGAACACGCCGTCGTCCGACCAGACGTGCTCGTCGTCGCCAATCAGCTTCCGGCGGGGGCCGGCGGAGAGCGTCGTCTTGCCCATGTCCGACAACCCACAGAAGAGGGTCGCATCGTTGTTCTCGATGCCGACATTGGCAGGCGGGTGCAGTGAGAGCTGGCCGACCTTGACCGGTCAGCGGAGGCAGTGCTACACATAGTCGTCAGTCGCACTCAAGGGGACGGGACGAAGACACGCGCCATGACGGAGAAGGCACCCTTCTTCATCTCACCTGCATACTCCATGCCGAGGATGATCGCGTTCATGCGCTTGAAATTGATCTCAACAGACGTGGTACTGCTCACGCCCTCCGTGAAACGGCTCGCCGGGAGCTGGTCCGCGTTGTAGTCCGGCTCGCCGAAAATCCTTCAGCTCTTCCTCCGCCGGGCGGATGAGCGTGTTGTTCTGTGAGGCGTGACGTCAGGGCCCGACGCAGCGGTACGAGGCATAAGAACGACTTGCTATGAACAGAGCGGGATCAACTAACGCGCAGACGACGCGGGCCTTAATACGGTACTTCGGATCCCACTATGCGAGAGGGAACAACAGATCAGCTGCACTGGCCCGCACTCGGCGTGACGCCGCTACTTACGCCCGCGTACCCGTCAAAGACATAGATGTTGTCCCAAGTATTGAGGTAGTCGACGGCACGCTCACGGTTGTTCTCGAACATGTCTGTCGAGCAATGAGACGCGTCAGCTAAGGCCTTCTGAAGTAGAGTGGACGCAACAACGCGCGCTCGTCCATCATGATGTCGACGCTCCCCCAACATAATATATCGCCTTCGCTCGTCTCCTCGTACATGGTTGGCTTGTCCTTAGGACTGCGCCCCGTCTTCGTGCCCGAGATGTTGATCAGCGGAACGCTCGCAGAGATGACGGCGCGCACATCTCGGATTCCTCGTACTTAGAGCGGAGCAATGGGCACGTTGCGCTTGATCTGGATCCGGTCCATGTTGAAACCGGCCTGGGAGAAGTATCCTATTAGGTAACGGCCGACCAGCGAGTGAATGTCAGTTGCAGTACCGTAACGGGAATGAAGTGGCTGGAGTTTGGCTGGCGAACGTACGCTTCAAGGCGCGGCCCGGGCGCGGGCCGCTGAGAGCCTATTTCTGAGATCTGGTCAGACGGAAGAAGGGTTTGGACTGAAGCAATAGCGACGTGGTGTTGTCACTGAGTACATCAACGTACTTACTGTATACAGGCTATAGGACCATTCAGTCTATTAGACGTGGCAAGCACGTAGTTTTGTACGTAGGGGACGCTCAGCGCCAAGTCGGGAAAGAGCAACGTAGCCTAAGTAAGCGACCGAATTCCGATCAAGTTCCGATTGAATTCCTGGCACGCCGTGGGGTCTGTGCCGACACGAGGGGAGGGCATGAAAGAAGGTGTATGGAAAGAAAGACGGTAAGTTTCGTTGTGTCATATCAGACTTAGACACTCTTAAGTACTTAGATGAGCAGATGAGTTACTGGGGCGTGGGCTAGTCTCCCCAAGCAGACGTAGACAATTTTTTCAACCTTCGTGCCTCAGGATAACGTGGGCGGAAAACCAGCGGGAGCAGCAGCGGTTGCCACACGACAGGTGCGGACGATGGTGTATGGAGCAGACGAGAAAGTGGAGGCGGTATAAGCTTGACTGGAACTGGTGAAGAACGATTGCTTGGGATAAACCTGTGAGTGAGCACTGAGTACTGAGTAGTGAGGGTCGCGGAGAAGACCGTTCCCCGTCACGGTCGGTGGCTGCGTACCGGGCCAGTCTGACATCGCCCAGCTTGCTTTTTGCAGCTACGTACTCGGAACACACGTCGACACAGTAGTACGTGTGTGCCAGGCGCTGCTTGATCGCGTTTGACTTTGCGAGCACCTCAGGCTCCAGTACGAGCCTGCCACATTTATACGTGCCTTCATCCACGCCCATAGCCCCTCCGTTCATAGTCCCTGCACGCTCAGTGTCCCGACGAAACCACCACCATAGCCCCGACCGAGTTCTCGCTCCGCCTGCAGCACGGTCAGCCAGGGTCTTTCCTGATCACACGTGAACGTGAACTCACTCATCCGCGACTACCTATAGGTATCACCGGAGGCTTCGCTCCTCCCACCCCTAGTGCGATCTGATCACCGGAACACCCTCGCAGCCCAGCTGGAGCATCACCGCTGCCGTGCGCCCCGACGGCACGCCCTCCCTCGGTGATGAGGAGCGCAAGGCGCTGTCAGCCACCGACACAGGGGCGACAATACTCGTCGGCGAGCTGCACGATATCCTCAAATCGATCCCGACGGAGCAGCCGCCGGGGAGCGAGGACATCTAAGGTTTGGACAGGAGCATTGCCTTCGGGAGCGACGACCTGATGTGGATGGATGGCGGGCCCGCGGGATGCGGGATTGGGACAAGCACGGTGCAGGCGACGGCGGAGGACAAGGCGAAGGTCAAGAGGGCGGTGAAGATCGTGCAGGAGCTGATCACGAAGGCGTCGTGAGGACGCGCGCAAGGCGATCTACTTGCGGGTGTACAACATGTATCTTTGTATCTTCAACTGAACATACCCTATCTTACCGCATCAACATGCCTTACCGATCGTACGTAGGCGGTGTCTGCGGAAGCTTGTTGTGTCCACGCTACTCCCCGTTCGGCTTCTCCGCCTGCATGGCAGATGCAATCGCGCCTCCACCAACGACCGCACCTCCCTCTCGGACCAGGCTCTCCCGCGCTTCCGTCAGCGCCTTCTCTTGCTCGCCGAGCGTGGGTTTATGGGAGGCGACGGCGGAATGAAGGGAGGCGTAGAGGGACAGCTTCGCTTTACGCTTCATGCATCAGCGGCCGCTCACGAGTAGACCCGGAGACTGCAGTATGGGCAGGATGGAACGCACGTCATGTGGTCTTTGACCTGATGCGATCGTCAGCGACGTCCTTGAACGGACAGCAAAAGGACGACGTATAAGATCTAAAATCTTGGCGAACTTCGTCGTCAATTCTGCATGCACCTCGCGTCAGTTGCGGTTCACGCAGTTTCCGGGGGAACAACACATGAACTCACCCTCTGCGCCAGCCGTCCACTCCTCCATCGAGCACTCGGACCATCTCTTCTTCGCCTCTCGTACACGTCCACATGGCCCTCCACGAACTCGCCAAGGTCTTGCCCCATGAGCTTGTACAGCGCCTCCCCACGTCCCATAAGGTCCAAGAGTACGGGGTGAGCCTGTGGATGAACGTGCGCCTTGGACATGCGGGAGTACGGCCTGTCGGGCTGCTGCGATTGCGCGCGAGGGTCAGGGATGCCGTGCTCGTAGTCGTCGGGAGCGATGTAGCCGCGGACGTCGGGGGTCGGTCCGCGAGAGTAGCGCGCTGCGAGGTCGTCCTGCGCGGGGTGTCAGCAAGGTAGCGAGGTCGGTACCAGGGAATCCGCTGGAGTTGCGCAGCCACGACCTAGCTAAATGGATGCAAATCGTGCCACGAAGAAGGTTAAACTCACCGCGGGGCCATGCCCATCCAGCTTGTACCGCTTAGACTGAGTCCCGTACGCAAACTCTTCCTCCTCGAAGTCTTGCTGGCGGATGCGTTTGACCGACCTGCGCAAGCCATGCTGCGACGCCTCAGAAGGAGCGTCGTCCGAGCCCGCGTGGGCGTCGTCCGGGAAGGAACCGGAGGCCCGTTAGCCCTGAGCACTGCTGGGGTGACCCCGGTCGTCCTCGTCTTCATCTTCGTTGATCTTCTCCAGAGACGGATGAGAGGAGACGCGCGGGCGAGCATGGCCGCGCTCTGTATTGTTCGAGCCCAGTGAGCGGGCGCTATCGTATCTGTCGCCGTTCGCAGAGTGAGGGTCCGAGACGTTGTCGTCGCCAGCGGAGGTGACTGTATGCTAGTGGTTCGCGTTCACATTGTCCCCAGAGCCTGTGGTTTGCATCTTAGACGGCACGGGCAACATCGGCGGGCGAAATCCGTTCACAGACAAAAACTCGGACCCAGTACCAGTACCAGAGACGGTGCTTGAGAGGAAGAACGGAGAAGACGGACGAGAGCCCGATAGACGGTGGGCCTGGCCCGGGGTAGGACAGGCCTGGTCGAGCGAGCATCGGCTCCAGAGCTGTCAAAGGACTTGCGGTTCATGCCCAGTCCGGAGGCCCCGTTAGACTGAGGGACAGGTTTGCGCTTCGCGAGGCCGGATACATTGAGCGGCTTATTTGTCGCGGCTTTCAGTGCAGCTTCGGCGCTGTGATGGGTGGCTATATCTGAGTGGACCCGTCATTGTATGAGTGTGAAGGGGCTGAGTAGCTGCCAGAGAGCAGCCTGTTCGGGCGGAACGAGTTGTGAGCGACGGTACTGGAGAGCGAGGGAGCCGAGGTTTGGGGTTGTTGGCGCAATGCAGGCCGCTGAGGCATAAAAGGTATGCAAGCAGCCATCTTCGAGTAGAGCAAAAGCTTCAAAAAAGGCAACGGTGTTGAGACGGACGCAAGGGAACCAGATGAAGAGTGGGAGTGCAGCGAGACGGTCGGTGTATGCGTGGGGGTCCAGCGGAGCGAGCTGTAGCGAGCCAAAGAAAACCAGAGCCGGCAAGCGCTGCCATCTGATGAGTCTGCAGTATATGTGTGAAGCTTTTGCGGCGCGCAAGCAGAAAGAAACGGTATCAGACGGTCGAGGAGAAGATGGTCGTACGGAGATTCGCGATCGTTGGTCCTTGGAGAGAATTGCTGAAGCTTGGATACCGACGCGTTTGTCACGTGCGCTCGCTCTGAGCCAGTTCTCCCCAGTCCCAGCCGAGGCTGCCAGCGGTAGTCTACATGGTAAATAAGTTCCCCTCCACACCAGCACTTCAGTTACAGCTAATTCCATATTGCTAGACCCCCTTCCGAAAATGTGTGCACAGGCGGAGGCACTGGGGACAAACCGGCTTGTGCGGAACCCTAACATTGTAAGTTGCCATCGTAAAACCGTGTATATTAGGTGGAATACCAAAAATAACATATGGAAGGGAGCCTAACATTGAAAGGCGCGGCCTCTGATTGGCTGGCTTTCGATGTTAGGGATGAGAAAATTAGTTATGTTCAATTATCTACCTAATATACACGGTTTTACGATGGTAACTTACAATGTTAGGGTTCCGCACAAGCCAGTTTGTCCCCAGTGAGGGCGTCGGGCCTTCGTCTGGCCTTGTTTGCAGGTGATCCGCACGCTCTGCCGGTCGACCTCGGCTTCGGAACGCGGTCTGGTTCGCCCCCGACACTGCCCGTTATGGTAAAATGACGATGGTGAGACAGAAAGAATACCAAGGCCGACGAACCCGCCTGTACGCCCTTTCCGGCGAGGGGTCTAGCAATAAGGAATTAGCTGTAACCTATCCTGCCCGTCATCACGTTTGTAGCTCTCAGTTTTGCTGCAAATCTGTGGGCCCTAGTTCTGCGCTCCGACACCACGCATAATTGTCCCAACAGTGACGACTCAGCTTAGTGAGTAACTGAGTTCGTGTTGATGTAAGGAGGCAGCGCGATCTCTCGGCTAACCTGCCTAACAATAGTATAGTTTTATCGAAGCGCGGCTCTTTTGCTTGATGCTAAGTAGGCCGAGAACTCGGAACCCACAATATATGGTAAGCCGCTTTCTACAGGACGTGAGCCCGCACAGTGGATTGATCATGGGCAATCTTGTTAGATGGCCCATACGGTCACCAGTGAAGGCGACGACGAACTCAGAATCGACTTCAAGCCACCCGCATACTCAAGGTATAGCTCGCCCTCTACTCCGACATGCTGCAGTTATTCTGGGCTCATTGGCTTCGCCGATGCAGCGAAGGGTATCCGCATCTTCCGCAGGACGTGATCAAGCACATATGCTACTGCCTCTGGGACGACCTCCTTGCACCTGCCGTTTGCTGCACAGTCTGCCGTGCTTGGTACCACGCTGCGCAGCACGTCTTCCGCCGCAGCAGTCCGCACCACTTGGGCACTGGATGGGCCTTAGAGTTAGACCACTACGCGCGCGTGCTGAATAAACCGAGAAATAGACCTCAGGGCAAGACTTGCATAGACCTATTAGGAGTCGTGGATGAATCTGGATAGCCATTCACTCATATTTGGCGCATACTCCTCCCCGGCTACGTTCCATCCGGCCTCCGTTCTCTAGACCTCTCTGACATCGATTGAGGGGTACCCAGACCAGATGACATTTTCTTCCGTTGCCTCGCCTATTATACCAGTATTACAAAGCTTGTGATCCAGCGGTGTCGTTTTCGCAGTACACTGGATCTTCATAGGTTGCTCAATTCACTGCCGCATCTCGAGGCTCTAACTCTATGGTCCATCACACTACAGCCCCTGCAGCCGGCCATCCTTGCGCCTCGCTGCGCGTCCATGGCTTCCCACAAGCTCAAGAGCATATGTATATATGGTCTTCCGTCGACGTGTGCACTACCTTCTACCCATCTGTCGTCGATCTAGACCTGGACTTGCGGCACTTCTCCTCGCTTTTTCATCTGGAACAACACATGTCGCATTATACAGCTCTGTCGATTCTCCGTGTACACCTGCATTTCGACCCTGGCTTAGATCCGCGATCGAATGGCTCAACGTCCGTGCACAGCGCACTGACACATCGTCTCTCACCAAGGCCGTTGGTGTTTAGGCTCCGCTATGTACCTCCAGCACGCGTGTTGCAACTGTTAAGGCTGGTGTCCTCCCCTCAGGAGTGCGGTGACAATCTACAGGAGCTTAAGGTCTTGTTTGCAGACGGGCGGTCCGAAGAGCTTCAATTGGGCGTCACACAAGTCCTGGATCTATGTGGAAGTCGGATTAAGCGGTTTCGCTCGACTTGTCCGGATCTGGACAACGGTGAGATCTCCCACCGATAGCCTCTTCCATCGCTCACGAGCGTAAACATCCTACAGTAGCTGCCTATGGGGACGCCGCGTCTCTCGGGAAGCACGGCGCTGGAAGAGCTGCATGTGGCGTTTAGCGGTGTTGTACCCTCACTGCATAGCGTCCAGAGGATCCTTACCACGCTGTTATCGAACATCGCAAGCCCTCATGTGAAGCTGCTCGACAGCCGCTTCCTACTAGTGCTGGCAAGTCCCGCCACACTTCGAGATATAGCTGAAGTACCACCTACGGCGACTTGGACATTCGCATCCGTCTCGGATTTCCACGCCCTTCTTGTTCGTGGCGTCTTTGACCAGCTACCCCCTGAGTGCGTGCGCATCACCTTCGCAATGCGAGACTCGGTGGCGATGCAAAGAGAAACAAGCTCTCTGCGATCAAGGCCCACATGGTTGCTTCATTCGCGCCATGATTGGATCGTGGAGTCTTGAACCTTGTATTCAACCCTGGTACGGAAACATGGAAACGGACTGCCCGGTGTGCTATTGGTAGAGGTACCTGAAAAGCAGTCCTGAGCGCGGGATCAAGCAGCAGGAGCGTGAACATAGCTCACCGCCTAATCGCGCCCGTCATCTACGGGACAATTGGATGACGTACGACATTCTCTGAGCATCGTAACGGTGAATACGCTTGGGGATGTTGGACAGCAGGCTCAGCGCGTAGTGTTCCGGCATCAGGCGTCTTTCAGGCGTGACTGAGTGCCACGAAATAAGAGAGCTGTGAGACAACACGGCAATGATTTGAGGACTCATAGTGAAAGCTCACTAGATTCAAGCTTGTCGGGGAATCTTCATGGCTGCCAAGCTGTTGATTTATGAGTCTATGTGCACGCAATTTGAGTGCTCCTAGTGATGTTCGGCGTTGTGCAAGACGGTCAAAATGAAAGTGAGCATGAGGAGCATTGGCAGAAGGAGCGCGTATAGAGCAATTCATATGGATTACCAGCGAGTCACAGGTAGGCCAAACATGTATTGCCTACTAGTAGATCGTCATATAGAACGGGAGGTATCGCAACATACAGAGAAACAGAGAAGGCCGGCCATACCGACGTTAGCACGAGAGAGCGGGCGCGTCGCTGGCACCGTCACCAGGCATCGCGACCAAGTGGCCAAGACCCTGAAGGCGCTTGATCGCGTACTTGTGCTCCGGGAAGACACCAGCGAAACCGTCAGCGTCGAGGCTCATCTCGTCGAGCGAAGTTGTCGCCGTCGACCTCCTCGTAGGCAACCGCGAGGGCGCGCAGACCACGCGCGGCGAACTCCTCAACGTCGGCCTCGAGTTTGTTCTCCTGCTCCTCGGTCTTGTTGCGCGTGCAAAGCTCGATGATGATTCCGGTCATGCCCTTGGTGACACGCTTTGAGCTTGCCAGAGCTCTCCTCCCGGTAAGTGATCCCGTGCGCTTGTCGACGGGGTTGAAAGGCTTGAAGTCGAGCAGCTTGATACCAGCACGGGCGCGAGAGGTGTCGCCGAGGACTCCAAAGACGCAAGTGTCGATCGCATCCTGGTTCTCGGTACGCGAAGCGTAGGCAGCGAGGAGGATGACATCTTCGGCGGAGAAGGCACCGTAGGTGCTGACGGTCTCGCGATCGATGGTGAACTTCTTGGTGGTGAGGGTACCGGTCTTGTCGGAGCACAGGATGGTGGCGGCGGCAAGCTCCTCGATGGCCATAATACAGGTGACGATAGCCTTGTATTTCGCGAGCTGCTGGGCACCGACGGCGAGCGCCACGGACAAGACGGTGGGCATAGCAATGGGGATACCACCGATCAAGAGCACCAGGATGTTGTTCAAGCCGCGACGGTAATGGTAGCGGAAGCCAGCGTACAGGCAGAAGATCTCCGCAATGACGAAGATTCCGATAGCGACCAAACAGAAAGTCCCGATCTGGCAAGGCAAGTGGCCAGTGGTATCGTCGTCCTGGCCGACGAGCGACGCAGCGCTACCAAAAAACGTGTTTGCACCGGTAGACTCTCGCCAGTCAGCGCAGCCTGGTCAATAGAGGCGTTGATAGTCTCCGCGAGACGGCAGTCGGCCGGAACGAAGGGATGGAGGTGGGTTAGGTTATGAGACGAAAACGGGCAACCTGGACGGCTAGGTTCGCCACAAGCCCTAACCCTAATGGGCGCTAATTCCGTTTAGCGCCTGGACTTTGAGCACGTGGACGCGCGTCACGGTGGACGAACGAGAGAGGGGAGAGCAAATGGGAATAAGAAGAGGGTGGACGCGGCGACAAGTCCTGAAGTGGTTGAGCAGCCACGGCACGGACGGGCAGGGACTGGTGAGCCGACGGCGCACCCGCGCGTGAGGGAGCCCGCCTGCCTGCCCAGCCACGCTGCAGTGCGCCGTCGGCGCACCCCGAGGAGGCGGCGAGCGGGGTGCACAGGGTCGCCACTGGCCGCCAAAAGCCAGGCGAACGCGGGGCCGGTGTGAGCATGGGAGTCACCGCGGAGGGGTGCGCCGATGGCGCACTAGCGGTGACGACCTGCTCCACCGGCCCGCAAGCCGGCTGCGGCGGACAGGGCGGGCCGAGTGCACCCGCTCGCCGCCTCCTCGGGGTGCGCCGACGGCGCACTGCAGCGTGGCTGGGCAGGCAGCGGGCTCCCTCACGCGCGGGTGCGCCGTCGGCTCACCAGTCCCTGCCCGTTCCTTACGCAGGTGCCTTCGACTGACGGACTTAGCGTTGCGGCCACCTCTCTTATTCGTAGTCGTCTTATTCGTAGTCTTCTTATTCAGTCTTATTCTCACACAAGTCAGTGATACACACAATAACATTCGTCATTAACGGTCATTACATTGTACATGAGATGATGCAAAAAAAACGCGGCCACGCGACAGGACGACAGGCTCACTTCTTCGACCGCTTCTTCTGGCGAGCATCCGCGGCGCCGGCACCAGGAGTACGCTCCTCGCGTCCCGCCGGGCCCGCCTGCAACCGATTCACCGGGGCGGCCTTCCGATTGGAGCGACGCGGGGCTGCGTCAGGTTTGGGCGGGCTGCTGCTCGGCTCGCGAACGCGCTTCGGCTTGCGGGGGGTCGGGGACGCCGACGAGGCCGACGACAGCGGAGACGACGGCCGAGTCGACTCAGAGCGCGAGCTCGTCGAACGACCGCGCAAGTCGGACGGGCCAGCCTCCGGGACCTCGGGCACAACGGGCTCCTGGTCGACGGCCATGTCGTCGACGTTCATGTCGTCGACGAAGGGCGGGGCGGACGGGGCACGGGAGAGCGAAGTCGAGCCCAGCTGGAACGACACCGCGGCGATGGTCGGAGGGACGGCAGGGGGACGAGTCGGCGAGCGCGTCGGCGAGCGGAACCACAGCGAGGGATCCAGCTGGCCGGGGGTGTCACGCGCACTCTGAGTAGATGGTTCAGGTGCGATAGGTGTTGAGTGGCGTGACACCACGGGCGGCGGGGGGGCGAAGGGCGAGGCGGGGACCGGGGGCGGGATGGACGAAGGCGGGGGCGGCGGCGCGGGGACCTGGGGGTCGACGTCCATGGAGTCGACGGGGTTCTCGCCGGCTGCGGACGTGTCCGGGATGGGGGCGGGGGCTGCGCTCGACTCGGCGGAGGGCTGAGGGTCCTCAGCCGCGGCAGTCTCCTCGGCGGGGGGCAGTCTCCTCGGCGGCGGGGGCAGTCTCCTGGACTGCCGGAGTGTCCTCGTCGCTGTCCGAGATGAGGGCGCGCGACTTCGGCCCCTTCTTGCGCGTGGTCTTGGGGGCGGGGGCAGCCGTCTCCTCAGGCTGAGGGGAGACCTCAGGGGTGGGCTCCGGGACCGCCTTCCTCATCCTCGGCTTGGGGCGAGGGCGCTTGGGCGCCGCGTCCGTCGACTCCGCCGCGGGCTGCTTCGAGGTCGACGCCTCCTGGTCGGCCGTGGACTTGCTCGCCTTCTTCGGCGCAGAGCCTTCGCCGGCGGTCTTCTTGGACGCCTTCTTCGGCGCAGAGCCCTCGCCGGCGGCCTTCTTGGAGGGCTTCTTGGGGGCGGGAGTCTTCTTCTCGACCGCCCTCTCCTTGCCCTTGCCCTTGCGCTTCGGGGCCGGCTCGTCGTCCTCGTCCTCCTCCTCGTCGCCTCCTCCTCGACGTCGGACTTGACGTACTCGTTGTCCTCGGCGGCCTCCAAGTCGAGCAGGTCGAGGACCGCCGCGCCGAGCATCCGCTGCCTCGAGCTCGCTGAATGACGAGTCAGAGTGGATTTCAAAAGAATGACGTGGTACTTACCGAGGTCGAAGCCCGGGGTGATGAACGCGATGTGCATCACGCCCTTGTCCCAGGCGATGTTGTTGAGGGCGACGTCCACGGACTCGGTGACGACGATGCGGTAGACGAAGACGTCGCGCATCTGCCCGAAGCGGTGGATCCGCCCGATCGCCTGCTCGTCGGACTGCGCCGACCACGTGGTGTCCTGGCACCGGATGAGAGAAGGATGAGAAAGGAAAAAGAGACAACGCACCAGGAAGATGATGACGTTGGCCCACGCGATGTTGAGCCCCGTCGCGCCGACGCCAGACATGACAGGATGGTTTTGCCACCCCAAGTCGACTTCCGGAACTTCTCGACCTCTTCGGCGCGCTGCTTGGCGGACAGCGAGCCGTGGATGAAGACGGCCTTGAAGCCGTAGGCCGCGAACAACTAAGACAGGTGAGAAAAGGATTGAGGGATTACAAAAAGAAGACTTACGTTCTCGAGCACGATGTTATTCGACGGGAACGTCGAATAAATGACGATCTTGTCCGGCTCGTCCCCCGAGTACGAGACGTACACGTAGTCCTCGTCGGGGACCAGGCGGTTGGAGTCCGGGAACTCGGGGAGCTTGGAGAGGGGGACGCCATCGAGCTCCGGGTCGTTCCGCATCGGGGGGGCCTTCGGCTTGCTGTGGTTCTCGAGCAAGTCGACGAGGGCCATGAGCTTGGCCGTCGGGATGGCCTCGAAGTCCTCGCGCGTGACCGGGATCTTCGCGTCGGGCGGGGGGTGCCGGGCCATCGAGAAGTGGAACATCGTCCGGCGGATGTCCACGTAGAAGTTCTGTGAGTGAAAATTGTCAGCCACTGAAACACTGGCAACAGGTGCGCCATCGGCGCACCCGCGCGAGGGGGAAGGAAAATCATAACAGTGGCCGTGCGAAGGCACGGCCGTCCAGTGCGCCATTGGCGCACCCGGCGGGGGGCCGCGGGTGCCACGCAGGACTAATCCACTGCGGGCAGTGAGCCATTGGCGCACCGCAGCACGGCCGGCCTGTGAGACTCGCCCTCCGCGAGGGGTGCGCCGTTGGCTCACTGCAGCTGTATGCCAGCGAACCGCCCAAGTGGCTCATGGGTGGCTGGCCAGCGCACCCTGCGCTGCGGTGCGCCAACGGCGCACTCGACGAGGGCACTGATGAGAGGTTACGGTGTTCCAACCGGACCTCTCAGCAGCCCCGCGCGGGGTGCGCCTTCGGCGCACCCGACCCCATACTCGAGCAAGTGGTTATTTGCTCACCTTGTCCGTCACCGCGGCCTTTTTCCCCTTCGCGTCCTGGCCGACCTCAGCCTGGATCGACTGGACCACCTTGCGCTCGTACGGGGCGAGCCGGAGCATGATGGAGATGTCGTTGCAGGGCGGCAAGCCACTGACAACGTTCCCCTGCCAGTCCGTGGACGTCACCGTCCGACGGATGACCATGCCCGCCCACCGCTTCCGGTAGTCGGCCATGATGGTGATGGTCTCCGCCGCCGTGGCCGAGCTCCACGTCGACGGCTCCCCGTCCTTGCTCTCCTTGGCGGCGGTGACGCGCCGGAGGGTCCTGTTGTCGCGCCGCTCCGCCCGGTCCTTGGTCTGCGCGCGCGTCAGGAGCCGTCCGTGACCGGCGAGCTCCTCCTTGTACTCGTCGCCGAATCGGGGGAGGCCCATCAGGCGACCGATGGAGACGAGGTCCTGTGCAGCGACGGTGAGCTTGGTTACAATCCGGAGAGTGGGACTTACCATCGCGCTGGTGATCGTCGGCGTCGCCGACAGTCCTACCATGGAGCCCGCGTGCTCCCGGAGATTCCGCACCGCGCGGAAGGCCGCATTCGGCTTGCGCATCTCGTGGATCTCGTCCACGATGACGAGCCCCCAGTTGCGGCTGAACACCGACTTCGCCTTGATGGCGGCAGCCTCGCGGGCGGGGCGGGGGATCTCCGATCCGGCGTGCCACGGCTCGCCAGGCGGGAGCATGAAACCTCGGTGCTGTCCTTCGACACCGCCTACGCAAGTATTGTGAGCGAGGAATGGATGACGAGGGCGTGTACTTACCGGCACCGTCGAAGGACGATCTGCCGACTCTTCGGCTGCTTGAAGGCGTTGACCGCCGCCCAGAACTGCTCCGCCCGGTTGCCGCGGACGAGGGCGGTGTACGACATCAGGTCGAACGACTTCGCGGACACGTACCGGTGGATTTCGAGCCGCACCTGGGTCTCGAGCGAGACGGGCACGACGATGAGGCGGGGGCGTCGAGGAAGTTGCCGTCGTCGGAGCCCGGGAACTTGACGTTCTCTGTGAAGAAGGTAAGTAGCTATCTTCACCGCGCATAGAAACGTGACTTACTGTACTTGCCCGGGAAGTGGCCGTGGGACGCGTAGTGCATCCGGAAGTGCGCCATCATGCAGATGAGGCCGACGACCTGCATCGTCTTGCCGACGCCGACGCCGTCCATGAGGAGGGTCGGCTTGCCGGCCAGCACGTTGTCGAGCATCTTGACGATGCCGACGAGCTGGTGCCAGCGGGGCGCCAGCGGGATGGTGTCCTTGCCCTCGAGCGCCTTGATGCCCTCCGGGGACCACGGGTCGTGCACGCCGATCGTCGACTCGACGAGGTTGAAGAAGGGGATGCTCTTGTCGGCGCTCCGGCCGAGCATCGCCCAGAGCTCGTCGGGGGTGCACTTCTCGTACTCCTTGACGCCGGTGCCCCACGCGAAGTCGTCCAGGTTGTGCAGGCCGATGTGCAGCTCCGCGTCGTCCTCGTCCTCGATCTGCTCGAGGAGGCGCTCCAGCTCGAAGTTGAGCTGGTCGACCTCCTTTGCGTCGGCGAGCTGCTGGAGCGCCTCGACGACCGACTTGGGCAGCCCTGCAACGAGGTCAGAGGTCGTCGGAGAGGCGATGACGGAGACGTACCGGGTACCGCCTTCGAGCGGTCCTTCATCTGGTCGCGCACCTTCTGGACGTTCTCCAGGTGCGTCTTGAACTTCTCGACGGCGGCGACGTTGTCGAGGTTCCTCGCCGCCTCGAGGTGCGTCGAGACCTGCTTGAAATACCTGGTCATCGCGCCCTTGATCGTCTTGCTGTCCTTCTTCAGGATCTCTGCACCGAGGGTTAACGCGGCACGCTTTGCACAACGCGCGCACTCACCGTCCCAGTCGTTCTCCATCCCGGCGACCCACTTGTCGATCTTCTTGACCTCGTCGCCGATCCGCTTACCCTCCGAATGCCATAGGTGGGGAAGATCCGCCCCACGTACTTCGTGGCCCACGGCTTCGGCGTCGCGGCCCTGAAAGTCGCCCCACCGCCGAGGAGCTCGAGCACGACCGGGAGCGTCGCACTGGCGAGGTTGCACTCCTTGACGTTGGGGAGCTGGGCGTGGCGTCAGTACCGGTGTTGGACGACTGTGACGATGCTCACCGTCATCGTCTCCATGTTCCGCATCGTTTGATACGGCCCCAGCTCGACGGTCTCGAGCACCTGCAGCGTCCGCGCGCGGATCTGCCACTCCTTCACGGCCTCCGTCAGCCATCCGAGGACGGCGTCGCGACCCTCCGAGTCCTTGTCCTTCTTGATCTTCAGGCACGCTTGGCGGGCGGTCGCGCCCTCGATTGCCCGGTACCTCGACACGAAGGCGAGGACCTTTTTGAGCAGGGCGCCGTCGTGCGCCATCCAGGAACTCGGGACGGACTTCGGCCCGGCACTCTCATCCCACGGCAGGCCGGTGTTCTCCTTGCGCGTCAGGACCTCCCACGCGCCGCAACTCACCAGATCCGGTTGGCTGACCATTAGGTCGAAGACGTTGTGTTGGGGCGTCCACACGCCCATTGCGAAAGCGGGAGCGAGGAAGCAGGGGTGGCGGTACAGGAAGAGAGTAATGTGGGGGGCAGGGAATGGTTGTGAGGGGCTTTATAGCCCACAGCAGTCCCATCAAATTTCGGCCAACGGGGATCTTCGATCCAGATAAGCGTTAACCGAGACGATCAGCGCCCGGGGACACTGTGGCTCGTGATGGGATTGGACGGGCTGCCCGCGAGAAGTGCGCCGACGGCGCACCGCGGCGTGAGCGAGCAAATTTTCATTGAGCGCCCACTGCTGATAGGCCGGGAGGATCAGCGCGGTGAGCCGGCGATCTCGCTGATCTTGATCCCGCTGGGGTCTGGAGCGCGGATGGGGCATACCGCTTTGGGTAGGCTGGGCGGGCACGGAGCGCCGGGTGCGCCGTTGACGCACCGCGGCGGGGCCTGCCACCGCGCGCTGCCACGCCCAAGCAGGTCGCCCTCGGTGCGCCGAAGGCGCACCGCAACGGGCAGGGCACGCCGGCCCACCGGTCACGTGCACCGCCGCCCGCCCTCGCCCCAGTGCGCCTTCGGCGCACTCAGGGCAGATCGCTCGTGAGGTGTTGCCTCGCCCACGCTTTCCGTTCTTTGCGGGCTCCTCCATCCCCTGCGCGGGGTGCGCCATTGGCTCACTGGACTGGCGTTGTCAGCACACCGTATATATGTCGCACCGTCTATATGTTGCTTTCTACATTGAGGTAGAGTACACACTATGGACCGTTGCTCATTCCGACGACTCCTCCTCTTCCTCGCGACGCCTAATCCTCTCATCCCTCGCCGCCTGCTCCCTGTCCGCTTGCTCTTCGTCGGATGACATCTCGAAGGGCACGTCATACACAGGTGATTGCCGGCCTTCCTCCTCGGGGTTCATCTCCTCCGGACGCACACTCCGGATCACCCAGCGCTCGCCCTTGTAGACCAAAGGATTTACCGCAAGAATGGGAGCCGGGCCTCGGCTCCCGGTGGGCACGGCCTTTGCCGATGAGGCGCCGGCCTGACGCGTGTTCCAGATCCGGTCATTCTCAGGCTGCGGCAGCCAAAGCATTTGGTTGAACAGCCCCAGCAGCGCGCGGCGGAGCGCGGGGATGTCCACCTCGTCGTGCTTAGCCAGCAGCGCCGACCACTGTTTCCAGTACGTACACTGCACGTAGTTCTGCAGCGAATGGTTGATGGTGGTGTGTGTCGGCGGGAAATACCGGTCGAACATTATCCCCGTCCAGAATGTTCCGTCCACGTGATTGACGCGGCACTGCGTGAATGGCAAAACCGGTGACTTGAACAACCTGTCGGGTGCGTTCACCTTCTCGATCGCTGTGACCGTCAGGAACGATCGATGCTGTCTTCCCTTCGGAGACGGGGCCTTCTGCAGGAGATCACACTTGAATTGCTCCCACAAACGGGACACCCGTTGATCCGCGTTTAACGGAGGCGCTCGTCCTCGTTCATCCTCGCGATCGATGGCCTCCCTTCTCGGCTCTGCGATGTCGATCCGGATGCCGCGGTCCGCCAGTCCGAGATTGCGCTCAGGCACGGGTTCGGTGCGGTGATTGATCGTCGAGCTCGTCTGCGTTTGGCGATTGGGACTCGGTACGGATTCCGTTTGGATGGGACTACCCGGATCCCCGTCTGGCCGAACAAACCACGGAGGGTGGGCATGTCCTCGGCCTTGTATGCGAGCGCCAACATGTCGCCGTCGAGCACACGGCGCCTGTCCGTGAGATAGCTCCCGTGGTCGCTGACATATTGCCCAGGAGGAACAGGCCTTGCTTGTCACCCACGGGCGACCAGTCGTATCGTTCGTCGTCGTAGACATCGACGTCATGCTCAGACATGAGATCCTCGGCCTGGTGCATGGCGACGTCAGCCTCTAGCTGTGGATATGGTGTCTTTGTGGTGTTGCGGTAGAGGCATCCGTTGAGCATGTGTGTAAGGACAACGCCGAGCTGGAGTGACTCGTCCCTCGCCCGGAGGCGTTGGGACTCTTCTTCAGGTGTTCGATCATCGTATAACAACAGAACACTCTCCACCACTTGAATGTCCTGTGGGCGGGTTATTTACTGATCATACCCTGTATTCAAACTCGCTACCACCACGTGACTGCTGGCCAAGAGAGGCATGCATTATAGGGTGTTTCTGTAGGAAATTGGAGCACAGAGTACCCTCTGATTACCTATATAGAAATTTCTATATAAGGAAATTTCTATATAAGGAAAGTGTGAACATTTAAATTACTTGAGTGTGAAGGTGCGCGCCCGCGCGCATCCACAGACTGTACATGCATACCACATTAGCTGCAGAGATCACGAGAGGTGTGGAGACGCGCAATTGCGCACC